TTGCTCCTAGTACTTGGCCAAGACAAACTTATTTTAAACCACTTTACAAAGTGTGAGCCAGCCTTTGATGCTTTTATTCATGTCAGATAGCATCTTGTAATCCAACAGTTGCTGATGCTGCTTGAGGACTGTGAGGTAATGCCACAATGGTGTCACAGTCTGATTCTCTCAATTCAGTAGTCGACTTCTAAATAGGGACTGAAGTGCCAATATTTTGTACCATTGTTACTTCATTAGAGTGTTACCTTTACAGCCTTACCTTGCTCTTCAAATAACTGTTGTCATTGCTAGATTATGCCAGGTACATAAATAGGGACCGTAGAACCAATAGTTACTGCCAGTAGTATTTATTATTTCTGCTGCAGACCAGAACACGGTTGTGCTAAAAGCCACACAGGTAGCCTGCAGCATCCTCCCTCCACAAAAGCACTGAGCCCTAGTGCGAAAGAGTATGAGCAAGTACAGCCTCTGGAAGGCACACCAATTATTTAGGTGACTCAGGTGTGCACTGCAGTGGGTGATGCAAGGTGTGAACATTTGTACAAGTTAAGCAGGAATTTATCTATTTTTTAATTTCAGGTGACTTCTGAAACATATTTTTAAAAGAAAAAGGTTAGGAAAGAAGCTATGTGGCTGTAAGGGATGGCAAAGGCCATGCTCCAAGCATATAAGCTTTTGATATATTACTCAAGTTAAATTAAAGATTCCATAAATCATTTCACTCATTAAAGCCACTAAAATAACAGTGCAACTTTTCAATGGCAGGGATTAATTTTTGAAGCAGTACAGGGGCATTTAGTTTCAATGCCTGATGTAACTTGATTGAATCAGACAAATGAAGTAAGTGACCTCTATCTAGCAAGGTTATAGCTATAGCTGGACTTATGTCTTAAGAAGATTTGTGCTGAAGTACACAAGAATGGAAATTGCAATGCAAGAAGCATACTAAAACATCATAAAAGAGGTGATACGACTTGTTCCTGGAGTAAGTGGGATTAAAGGGTGCTATAGGGGTGTTTTAAATGCTGTCTCAGGTCAGGTGTCCACAACCGTGACTTCTCAGTAACCAGATGTTATCTTGCTATTTTTATTAAAACGTATTTTTTTAATTTTAAACAAGTGTTTTAAATTATCTTAATGGTAATGCTCTAGGGGAAATTAATTTCTAGAATAATTTTTCAGGCACTGGACAAAACAAATGCTGGCCTACATTTCTGGAAAGCATGAGAGATTTCAAGTGCCCACAATATTTAATACCTAAAAATAGAGGTCATAAGAATGACATGGAATAGTTACTTGATGAAAATATGGTTCATTTAAAGAGGATTAAATTGCACACAAAAATTATCCACCTCTTTAGAAAATTTAGCTTGTTTTTAAAAAATTCAAAATCCTGGTTTTATCTTACAGTTTGCTCTTATATGGGCGGCCATAAATATTTTCTATTTTTTTTTTTTTTTTTTTAATAGTAGATCCTTTATTCTACAATTCTAAATGCAATCAAGACTTTCAAAGATCAGGATTTTCCTTTGGCTATGTCAGGCAGAATTAAATATACACATGGCATCCAGGAACACTGGGACATGTTTGAGGTGATATCAAGCATTTGCAGCTCAGGCTGCAGAGACCTGCTTTTACAGAGGGGTTTAAGTTTCAAACATTAAAAGCAACTGGGCTTGGACCAACCAGACAGAAGAGGGCAGAAGCGAAATAAGTTCTAGAGTGATGAAATTACTTTGGACAACTTAATAAAAAAAAACGCCGAGATCCCACTGAGCCATTAAATGATTGATTTCCACATGGAAGCACCCATCTCCTCTGACAAGTCTTTGACAAAACTGTTTCTTTATGTTCATGTGGAATGATTTTTGACCAAAAGATTAAAAAGACTGAGGGGAGAAAAGGACAGAACAGGTTATGAGCCCAACAGACAGGAGAAAACATGTTGAAAAAGAGGACTGGAATACTTGTGCATTCGTTAAACATAAAGGTAGCATTTGCAGATTGGATTGCTTAAAATTCAGGCTAAGTTAATGATAAATTACATAGGAAAACAAATACTTTAAATCTTCCAATATATAATTTAACATTTTTTTTTGATGGTTGTCTTTAAGTCCTCATATGCCAAGTAGGTTAATGGCAGAACATCAAAACTAATTTCCCTGAGATCACCAAGTAACTACCTTTTGCTAAATTGGAGCTCTGAGGTTCTATTAGAATTTGAAATCACAATGGTCAGCATCAGATGGCGAGTGGCAACCTAAAGCACTTTTAATTAAGCTGTTGACTCAGCCAAGCTACCAAAGCAATCATGGCTGAACATGTAGGAGTCCTGTAAACCTTGGCATCTTTGGCAATTATTGTAACAGTCAACTTCTGCCATGTGCAAAAGCTGAATTTAAAATGTTAATGCTCTAAGTGCCATGTCACTTTAATTATTTTTGGAGCTAAGTCTCCCCAGATATAGCCTTTTCTAAAATATTGAAAGAATGTGCTAATACCCTTACAGCCATCGTCATACTCCAGTTCCTTCCTCTGCTGCCTTTTGTTTCATTCATGACTTCCTAAGTCTGAAATACTCTGAATATTTCTAAAATGAGCTGTAATGAGTCTAAAGAGAAAAGTCTGACTTTTGTTTTCTTTAAATCCTTAGAGATATATATATAAATCCTTTCCCCAGTTCTATCAGACTACATTATTTCCCTCCAGACCCACTGTACAGTCCACCTCTAAGGCGCTCTGGTTATTGCCAAGATAAGCTAGTTCAGATCAGTACAATCTGTTTTCCAAAGGCCGGTGTTCAGAGCCAGCTGCTGATTGCACTCCTGGCAAAGGACAAGAGCCTGATAAATTCTGTGTTCGCTCAAGGAAGCAAAGACCCCCTTGCTTCCTACTGAGACCCTTTGTAACGGGTAAGACCTGTTGCCTGTTAATGCTCTCCCTGGCAGGGCAGAAGCAGAGGAGGGGAGCGCAGCATTGGCTCCACTTGCTGGGGAGAATAGCAGAGCCAAGACTGCAGAGGTAGGAGCTGGTAAATCCTTGCTGGTTTAATCCAACAGTAACTTTTTGCCTGGGAGCAGACAAAAATGGGAAGACTTAACTCAGTATCAGTGTTCTTAGGGCATACACTGGTTAAATCCGTAATGGGAATTTAGAAACTAACTCTAAAAATTGGAATATTTATGTTAGGGCTAATTAAAATTAAATCCTAATTCGGGAACCTCTCATTCCAGGCACCACAGGCTCTAGCTGGGTTTTGCCACACAATACCAAACTGTCTCTACTTCTGAAGTAATTGTGCCAAGAAAGGAAACAGCATAGTAGTACCCATTGTACAGGTCCACTGCTTTCATTCAGTTCCTGTGGATTCAATGGCAGAATTAATTGCAAAATAAAATGCATGTAATTGGATTAATTAACAGTACATTTCAAGGTCCTGAAATACTGAATTAGCCATGGGGTAAATGCACAATGCAGGTTTTTCCTGCAAACAGAACAAGTGCTATTTTTGGAGCTGTATCTGTATCTCAGCGAGGTGTGCCTTGCTTAAAAAGCTGCTAGGATAAGAAATGGGGCTTTGAAGGGGCAAGATAAATACTATAATTAGGGCTGCAGGACAACAAAAGGATTATTCTTAAATATAAAATCATTTGAGTGAAGTCGCTTGAAAGATAATTATACCTGAAATTGCTTGCATAGGTCTAATATTTTCGTTACAAGGACTTACAAGACTCATTGAATATTTATGGGCCTGGAACATAAGACTGGATGAAATTTAAAACATAAATTCAATAGCAATTTATTATGATGAAATTCCCTAGCAGTCATTGCCCCAACCTTTTAGCCTTAATAGACAGGCTTCATGTTGCAGAACACAAGCCCATGTGATAAATGATATCAAAGCTGAATGCCCTTGATTGATGAACGCTGCCTCGTTTGATGACTATGAAACAGTCCTGAGGGCTGATCTCACCACTATTTTGGTTGTTTTCTTTTTTACTTTTTCCTTAACACATATATTGCAGAATGGTTGTTTGTGCTTCTGGTATGGTTATCACATGCAAATGAGCATGCTGTTTCCCAGATGCAGATTTTATATTTATAGATTAAATACAGCCTGAAAAATCATATGTTAATTACATTCTGAGGGTGTAGCAGAATTTCTCACTTGAACATGTTTTGTTTTGCTGGAAATAGCGCAAATTCCAGATCAATGTATTTAGTTGCTTGAAGGTTGGTAATAAATGTATCACGCTTTAGAAAAAGCTTTCTAATCATTACTTATTTACCATTAGCTAAATGCTTAGACTTCTATCCCACATTATGTATTTGTTTATTTGTTTTTAATAATCTGCATTTTTCAGAAGACAACCAATTCTATAGGGAAGGGGGTGGGGGAATGACTAAGGATCAAAGTTAAACAAGCAGATTATCAGATACACACTGGCAGAGGCGATTCATGAGAATATGCTTTGAGTGGAACGGGACTCCTTGCAGTCGGCCGTTAGCTATAAATGGTATTTTTTTTCCTATTGCTTATAAGGGTCCCATACCACATACATCATGCTGAAAATCCATGTTGTAGGGGTTCCTCCTTTAATGCATCGTTCGCTGTGGCCAAAAGAGACACTGCCATCCCAGGAGAGGCCTCACAACCCACTGGTAACGGAGATGTCCACAGAAATATGGCTCCTCCTGAGACAGCAGGGAAAACCCAACAGGCTGATTCAGTTGCAGATTTAGAAACTGTATGGTGGTAGATGCTGGCTGGTGGCTTTTAAGCTGAGAAGTAGCACAGATGTAATTACATCCCAGCATGTCAAAGAACATGACAGAAATATTTAGGAAAAATGTGCTCAAAAGGGACTGTAGCAATTCTTGGATTTCAAATCAGGCCAGTTTTGCCCTCGAGGATTGTGTTATTGAAGGCAATACTGAGCGGAAGACCATTACAATAAAAGGGTGGAAAATTTTGGAGAAGTCAATATACGACATCCAAATTACTTTCTTATTTATTGTCCCAATAGTTGCAAAACATGAAAAATAAAGAGGAAAGCTTAAAATAGAGTGAACTTCATTATTACAAAGAAAACTCTGACACAACACCCATTAAAATCAATAGAAAACATCTCACTGGTTCTCACTGGGGGCAGGATCAAGCCTATACAAAGCAAACAGAGTTTCTTATTAACAAGTAGTTAAAAATATGACCCTCTTTTTTTTTTTTTTTTTTTTTTTTTTTTTTTTTCTGTAAATATAAGTCCTTTGATGACCAATTAGGGATTCAAATATATGTCCATAATCACTGGGCTGGCAGGAATGATTAGTATGAACTTCAAGCACAGATAAGTCTTTCTTTAAAACAGCCTGCTGCAGCATATTACAATACATCCTGAAAGCCACAAACAAGAAAGAGCAGTACCAAAATACATAGTAAATTGAAAATACCTTTTCTCCCCCACACTTCATCCCTTTTTACAGCTCTCATAAATCTTTTAGTAAATAAGTAAATCACAGAGGTACCAAAGAAACTGGTAAACTAAGAGGTAGTTTACGTAAAAAAGCACCTCTGTCTGCAAGCACGTCTTGCTGATGTGGGTGCACTGTGCAGTTCTGGAATCTGAAGCCATGTACGGCTGTCGGGTGCTGTGCCAACCTTCCTGCTCTAGTCTCAGGACCCAAGAGAAAATGCAGGCCTAGGACTACTTGGCCATATCAGCTTATCTGAAAGCAATTCAGGTACTTAGATGGCAGTATAAGACATGCCCTATACTCCTCACTTTCCCCAAGCAACAACACTCCATTTGCTTTTTGGCCCCCTGATCATTAAGCAATCAACAGATATGTTGAACTTTCAGTCTTGAAATTTTATCTTAATAATTTTATATTCTGTTTATATAACTAATCTTGGCTTTATGAACATATATGTGCATGTCACGTATCAGAATACATTCAGATTGGTATAATTGGAAAGAAAACTGCTACTGTGGTTTGGTTAGGATGCAACATGATCAGAACATGTGATGTAAGCTCTGTGTAGTGGAGTGCTCCACCGTGTACAAGAAATCATCCTCCCTTTGAGGCCTCACAAATAAAAATTTTGTGTCTGCTCAAGGACTGTATTTCTCCTGTGTGATCTTACAAAATGATACCGGTCTGTGATGAATCGGTACACTAGAGACAGTGTGCTGAATTAGATAAATTTGATAGTTTGAAGTAGCAGGCAACTCTTGTGATGTTGGTCTGTTTGAATAGAATAATAATGTATGTCTTACTATCTCTTCTAGAAAGAAACCAAAAGAAACCCAAATCTAATTACATATCCATCGTTAAAGTGCTCTACACAAACTGCTGGCTATCAACTGTAGTCATGCAATTCACTGGAGCCTTAGGACAAGATTCTGATAGGCTTTTCTTTCACTTTCCCATGAATGATGTTTCTTCACGTAGTCTTTGGCCCTTGTTACAATTTCTCTTTCCATAATGGGGTCATTCATCAAACTCTTGGACAGCACAACAAACTCCTAAAAAAGATAAGGTAAATAATAAGTTAAAAGTTCCTTGAAGTTCTAATGATGCTGAAATAGCCTGTACCCATATCTTGATTTCGGTAAAGCACTTCAACTGTGGGCCAATATATGAAGCTGCTCAAAGTAATTTTTCAAGGTCATGTACCATATTTTATTTATAAACAGTGATCAATAAATAATTATTTCATATATTATTTTACACAGCTCACCAACTAAGACATTTAAATCAACAACAATTCCAAGACCATTAAGACAAATGTGAGCAACAAATTTAATGACACAGAAATTGTTTGCCTACCCAAGTATTAGAAAACCAGCCTGGCTATAAATTAAATAATTGACCTGGTCTCCTTTATGGAGGACAATTGTCATCAGATGTTGGATCTCAGCTCAACTAAACTTTTATCTCACTGTTACTAAAAGACTAAAAAACTCACTATATAAATATAGTCACAGAATAAAGATAAGAGCGGGCATGCAGCAACAAGCTCTTCTGGTGTAGTTGCATCTGGGCAGTTACAGATACAGCAGTGTTAGCTCAACAAGCTCTGCAAAAAAGACATATATGAATTTCCTTTAACTTTAATGGGCAAAATACTAGACCTTACAGATTACACCTATTCCGTTGCCTCCTCCTCTGCCACTCTAGTTCCAGGGAAGATAAATTGTGAACTTCAAACATGTGAAAGGAGATTTGATGTCTGAATTAATCTATTCTGAGCAGCTGGTGTAATTTTCTATCAAGATTCAACTTTGAATACTTCAGCTTGATTACGAATGTGCTCAGATCTTTGCTAGTGTCTTCGTTCAGCTCAGAAAAGCAGATATCTATTGTGTCAATGGGAAAATTAAGATAATGCATTATTATACAACTGGTAGTGAAGATCAATGCATAGGGACATGGGGGACAAATAGGATGGGAGAAGGAGATACATTATTTACACAATCTGTCAGCTATGAAAGAAAAAATCACAAGTAGGACCAGAATTTGTATCAATACTAGGTTAACTAGCAAACTGTAATTGAAAACCTAAGTACACAGTGTATATAAATACAGAGACAGATATGAAACCTTTGGTTACCACAGAATCAATGTTGATGTTGTAATGCAAGTGATGGCTATGCATAATACATAACTATAATGTGACCCCTGGGAAACACTGATATGTGAAATCACATTGAACATGTTATAATCACTGCTTTGACTCACTGACAAGACAAACTATCAATATATGCATCACTGCCATTAAATTTAAATAGTCAGTGATGCACATCAGTTCTGTTGGAAAGGTTGGTAATTAGGTAAGAGAGTAAGATGATTTTCATAGATGCATATTAACAATCGCCTCTTATTTTACATAAAATCAGTGCAGCTTGTAATCTTTGCTCTGTCCACACAGCACTGAAAGAGCAGCCTCTGGAATAACCATGAGGGCCACATGCTTCATATCGAGCCTGCTTTCCATCCACAGCTACCTTGCATTCAGGTATGTGTTAATGTAAAAAGTGTATTCAGTTCCTTACTAAGGACCCATGTGGTTTGAAGGGGCTGTTTTCTGACTTCTTGTGAGACTGTCCCTAAAGAAGATTGGTGAGGCTGGTCTAGAGAATACCCCAAGGCTGCATCTACCAGACACTGCAGATATAGCCAATGACTCCAGCTTTTGAGACACGTTCTTTTCCTTCCTCCATCATCTGCCAGGAATACAGAAAAGGGAAGGTGGGAAAGTCTTACATGACTTATGCTGGCTTCATCCAATTGCCTGTATAATCATAGTAATAAATACTGTTCACACTGAACTACATTCCAACTTTAATTTTATGCTCCTGTGGAGGATTTTATTTAAAGTAATGTTTAAAAATAATTTATGTAAATTACCAAAGAACAGAAGCAGCAATGTAACATTTCTTGACAGGTAGTCTTATTAGCATTCTTTTAAAATGTGGATATAGAGGACAAAAACTTGGAAACATGTAAATGATAGAAGAAATGACATCCTTATTCACAGTTACAATACTTAATGCTGGGGATAATTTCAGGAAAATGCCAAACTGAGTCCAAAGTGTAAAAGTAGAGAGACTGCAGGGGAGAGAAACAGCAAATGGAAAAATACCAGGAGATGGAGAATAAGGACTTCTCAGCTTTATCCCTACTTCTTCTGCTAATCAAATATGACCACCTACAAGTCACTTTCAATCTGACTGGAAGCCAATGGGAAGATTCACTCTGACTTATCTGGGTTTTGCCTCGTACCCTTCAAGCAGCTGGCTTAGCTTGTTTTCAGTTTTGGATGCTCAGCTTTAGAAAGCAATAACTTCACTTTTCAGGTGTCTCCCTTAACTCCAACTGACCTGCATTTCAGTTTAGTTTTGTGGTAAGTCTGAAGCATGGGCTCCCACTTGCAGAATGCAGACATTCAAAACTCAGAGATCTTTCAGAAAATCGAGCATTTGATTTTTCTTTTCTGGAAGCCTATGATATACAAACTACTTATAGCGAGATAACATGCCTCTCTATCAGCTGTTATGCTGTAAATACTTGTGCAAGTGACATTTGCACAAATATTTGTGCACTCTCATATTTTGTTGCAGATGTGAAGCTTCACTTTTGGTGAAAGAGGGGCAAAATTCCCAAATTATTTTTCAATTATCAAACGTAATGGTATGCACTCCAGCAGCCAAAATGAAGGAGGTGAAATACATGCTAACTTACTATTTGGGGAACATCCATATTTCTAATAAGCCTTTTGTTCACATACAGAAATTGGTATAATTACTATACATGTCACATAAAACCACAGTGTAAAAGCTGAACCTCAGTAGTTAGCCACAACCCGTAAAAAACAGGAGAGAAGATCATCATGTGTACATCCAGAACTGGTATTACACATGCCCTTTTTATGGGTTGTACTTCACTTCAAACACAGGTATTTTTCAACACCAACATCGATAATACATTTTTTTTCCTGGTAAATTGACCAAGCATCTTTAAAGAAAATGTCAGCTTCTCTATATAGTACCTAAAAGAAATTCTGTATAATATTTTTAGAGACCCAGAAATACAGGTATGTGGGAGATAAAGCTGAAAAATGAGTGCACTGAGTAAAAAGAATGAATATTCCTTCAATTACCATGAGAACTACACTGATGCCACAGCTCACACATAATGAAAATAAGATGCAGGTTTAATATATTATTTATATAATGAAAGTAAGTCTGCAATTAAACCATTTCATATCAGCTTCAGCAGAAAAAAGAACATGATTCTTAAACAACAGAGAATCACCCCAGGGAAGGTGAATGCCAGATGTAAATTCAGAATAACAACAGATCTACCTAATGGCAGGCAAAGCTCAGAAGTCAGCTGGCACATCTGTGTACTTCACAGGGCAATGGGCCAGTATTTCTAGAGGAGTATAAACAGTGATTGCTGGCACTGCCAAAAATTGCAGATTAGTCCATTCAGTGTGAAGGTTCAAAGGTCTAAAAACTTCAGCTATATTCTGGCTTGAAGCCCTGGTAGAAATGGCATTGACCCACGTTTGGCAGAGGAGACCAGTGTGCCTTCAATATATCGCTGCCTGTACTCAGCTGAGCTGTGTTTCCCTCTTACCACTTCAAAAGTTGTCTCTGCTAACAGTAGTCTTTCCAGGGCCTGCTTTCTCTCTAACTCTTTAGGCTTGGCCCCTCTCTTACTGGCTTTGAACATTATTTACCTCCTTCTGTTTATTTAGTTCCTTCTGTGAGCTTTTACAGATGCTGAACATATAATTTCGAAACTTAGGATGCTAAATAACTCTTTGTGTCTTCCCTTTTAACATGGTTTTGCATTACATATTGCCCTATTCTTATCTCTTACTTATTTTCTTATTATAGGTCCCATTAACTCAGTGTCAAATATTCCATAAACTTGTAAATTCAAGTAGTGGCACAATTAAACCATGATTTAAAAACAATGTGCACAGATGATGTAGTATCAAGGACAAAACACTCCATACCCTTCACTTTTACATTAACTGTTTCCATCTGAGTATTGTCTTCAGTGACTGGCAAGGCTTTTGCTATATCCAGTCATGAAGCCTCAGCATAAATGCAAAAGGTTAATGATGGCTACAATTATGCAGAAAATTTCCTACTTTCTTGTAAACCACAAAAGCTCACTTTTAGCAAGAATAAAAGAAGAAAACCAACAGCATTCACAATTTAAAACAATTCTGTACTATTCTGTAACAGTCAATTTATATTCCTCTAATTTAGCTTTCAAAAGATAAAACAGTCCACAGACCAGACATAATTGCTCGTATCTAAGCTAACTGTATTGTAAAGCTTTCCCTCCCCAGATCAGTAACAATCTGAAAATAAGCAATGCTTTCTACTCTTGACCTATGATGCAGACTGTATTATCACAGATAGGACCCACTAAACTTAGCAATGAAAATTTCTCTGACATTTTCTAATCTTGGGTGGTCCAGATTCTTCAAGACAGAGACAAACTTCCCCAAGCACCTGAATCCAGTACTAATCTCTCTGTATGATTAAAATAATTTTCCTTAAGTAACCTGATGCAATTGAGGTTACAACAGAAAATAGTTTACCACATACTTAAGATGTCAAAGTAATCTGATTAACAGAACGAAGAAAATTTACTAGAAGGTATGTTTTCCAATCCCTATTGTCAGACTGAATCTTCTCAGGCAGTATTCAAAGTGCCGTGGGCAGACTGTTCCCTCTCCCAACAATAGAAATACGAGGCGTACTTTGAAACTGTAAGTTTCAAACTCTAATATAACTCTCAACCTCTGATAGACTGTGTACAGTGGTTTAAAAACTATTTGATATGGTTTGGGGAGATAAGGAACAAGAGTAAATGGTTACTTTATCTTTAAAACCATGAGTGATGATGATTGGCATTCTGAGCTCACCTCTGTGAGAAAAAAGTTTTGCAACAACTCTGCAGTGGGATTAGAGTATCACCCTGTAAACAAATATTTCCCTGACTCATTTGCAAACTTCGATAGTTTACACATTGACACCAATAAAAGTGTAAAAGGGCTTTTACTAAATGAGATACAATTGCTGTTTTACAGAGAAAGCAGGGATATTACTTTCCTAAGATACTGTAACTGCACAAACATTAGTGATTCCAGTATAAATATTACCTAAGAGTATGACAGCTAATATGGCAATGCAAGTTACCATCTTCACTTGAAAAAGCTTATGTGGACTTCTGAGATAGAGTAACAGCAAAAAGGGGGTTAACAAGCAGCAGTAGAATAGGGGGGTTTCTGATCTTTGGCATAGCACATTGCAGAGAAGGGACCTCAGACAGAAGGGGTTTATATAAACTAAGATTATAGCATTCTAGACATATTTACAGCCTGTGACTCTAGGTCTGATATAAAAGAAAGTCCTTATCCATTTGTACAGAGTCACTGATGTCACCGGGACTACTTCTGTGCTTAAAATTGCACTTTCCTTTAAGTGAGGAAATACGCAGCATATTTTCAATTGATATTGAATTCCAAATAAACACTTGGAATGTAGAATGCTTGGAGATCACAGAAGAGGTTTCTTACAAGGATGTATGATGAAGCTATTTGGGTCTGGTATGAATAATGTATTTGAATTCCAAGCCAAATGTAACCAGCATGTTGAAGGAAACAACGGAATGCATCAGAATTAATACCAGGAGAGCCATCAGTCTGTGTGTTCAACACGATCATATATCCTTGAAGTATTGAGGGAGCATATGGAAGTCAATGGACTTTTTGCAGGAAATACATGTACAAATAATTTTCTAAATAGCTTTACATCTCAGCTTCCACTAGCCTGGAAGTACCCCATTACCAAAGGATACTGCAAGAAGAGGGAATACTTCCACAACAAAATCCCAGAAGTTAACAGAGAAATTTTTTTTGTAGAAACCATTGGAAATACTGAATATTCCAGAAAAAACAAAACAAAACAAAACAAAACAAAAAACAAACAAAACAAAACAAAACACCAAACCATGACCTGCAAGACTTTTTCTATTGAGAACCTCCAAAACTAAGAGAATTCACCTTCCTGAAACACAACTTAATAGGATGCATTAATCATACACTCCATGAAGTAAATACACATGATAGATTTTTCTACTTTGCAAAATTATAAAATAGACTATTCTAGCAAGGTTTTTTTAATCTTGAGTTGGGTAAAAACACTGAGGGAATCTGTGTCTAAAAGTCATCTTCCACAACATATACAAATATGCAACAGCAAAGCCATAATGCAGGAAGAGATACTGAAATTTAAATTTTCAGCATTTAAATATGGGTAGTGTTCCCTCTCACTTTACTTAATTTTAGTCATTAATTATTTTCTGACTAAGCAATATCTTGGACCTAATAATGCTTTATATTAACACTTATTGCTCGAAATTATAGATAATATATTATGTAAAACTTCAGGCTCATAGTTCTCTTTTGGTTAGCTACTGCTTGTATGAGTTCTTATTTCAGTTAGCACCTGAAGGGAAATACAACATACGCATGGCATCTCTTCCAGGGTTTGCTTATGGAACCTTCAAAACTACAGTGCAACAAGTTGATGAGAACCTAGCCCCATTCAGATGGCAGGCTTTAAAGCAGTGCTGGCTAGACAAACATTCAGCAAGGCTGACACCTAGTAAAAGTTTAGCGAACTGCAAAGTGAATATGAGACAACAGCAGAGCTTCAAGACACCCTTACACCCAGGTTTTTAGGAGAATCTGAAAAAAACTGCTGAGAGGACAAGCCAAGTTTCCAGAAAGTCACAAGGATGTGATGGAAATTAACCTAACCTTAGGAAGGGACAGGACTAAGGATTTGTTGTTTCCTTACCTGGGGATTTGAAAATAGCAGTCCTGTTTCCTTATGTTTTATTATTGCTGCATTCCCAGGAATGTTCCTTGCCAGCACTGGAATATCTAAATCCATTGCCTGGAGGAATACAGAAAAAGGAAACAACAGTTTATTAGGATTCAAGGATTTTTGAGAAGTTAATGATGACAATTTAAAAATTAAATGAAGAAATACAAAAAATCAGACTTCCTTCCCATCTCTCCAATTTTTTAGTTGAAAGATACCATCTCTGAGGTGATCTGCTACATGGAACTTCTCTGAAATACTTTGTTTATATTTTTGTTAGTCTCGTAACTTTGAACATATTATCAGAAGCAATCAAACCAGAAAGTCAATGGACAGCTGCTTCGTCCTTTACTCTTTTCCACCTCAAAGTATGCAGTTTGTTTCCCACTGGAAGCTCCTGACATATGGCAAGCTTGAAGAGGATAAAAGAAATTAAAGTTCAGCTCAAGGTTTGTCACTGTAACTCCTACCGTTATTGTGCATAGATGAGATGCCAGTTTCCCCCAACAAAGTATTTGTTCTCTTGTTTCATTAGAATACAGTTTTCACAGATTTTCTGTAACGTGCAGAACTGGAGAGATATGGGCAGTTCAACACCAGTGAAGGTGACCATGGAAATCATTCGGCTCTTTCTCCTTAGTTCTAATTCCTATGGGTCATATAGGACTCTGGAAGGAGTTTTTGTTTTGACAGCATCTGTTACTATAGCCTGTCTTAGACTTTGAGTGTTCAGGGACTGTAGGGAGGCATGCAGTGACGCAGCTTCTGACTGAACTATACTAAGAAGAGGAGAGAAAAGGTTATGCTTTCAGAACACATTATGCTTTCAAAATATATCTACAAAGCTATTGGTATGGGACGCCTCAGAGACCAAGGAATACATCTGAACAAGTAAGATTTGATTCCACATAAGTTATGGGCTGGTTGCTTGATGTATTTATTAATTTATTTATATGCATATGTATGTGTGCATCTATGAATATATATAACAAAAGGAAAGGAAGTGTGGGGTCTCAACATGGTAGCATTTCAGGTTGTCTGCAGAATCAGGAGCAGAGATGCAGCACAGCATCCGTTCAAAGCTAGTAAACCACTTCCTGGAGACCTAATGCCTAGCAACTTTAAAAAAGTATGGCTTAGATTTTGAAGTAACCAGTGTGCAAACTCTGGCTACTCAACTCTGTTACTCATGCATGCCCTGATCTGAAACTGTAATTACTATTGATGAATGTGGAAGTCTTGAGATACACTGACTATAAAACCAGAAAAACTTATATTGTACAATTATCACAGTGTCAAACAAGAGACAGAAGTTCACTCCCCCAAATCTTCAATCTGTTTCATACTGATTCCCTGTCACTTCAGAGTGAATGCATTTTTAATTACTGTCATTACACTCCCAGATGGGGAGCAATTTTGCTTCAGTCTACATAGCAAGAAAACAAAACTCCAAAGAGAAAACCATGCTATTTTATAGTTTGGACAAAACTGAAGACAAAAATATCCTGGCTGATAATGTACAGAACTAATTATGTTTTGAAAAGTGAGGGACTGTTGTGACTTAGCACATGTCTTAGTAGCTTAAAATATCCAAGAGAAACACTGTTTAAATCACCACCGCAGATGAATTTACTCTGGACATAGAAATTCTATAGTCCTTCTGTCATGAACATCTGCTTTGCAGCAGTTATCTCTAAAACTAATAATAACCCTTAATGAAATAACCTGTTCTACACTTTATATCAGAAACTACTGGATCAGCTGGAGATAATTCAGACAAATAGATTAATGAAATGAACACAAACCAGAATAAATAAGTGAGAAATACAAAAACTACAGACCAGATTTCTGAATTTATCTAAGTGTTTAAAGTTGTTGGGATAACGGCTTTTTTTTAAAAATAATTAAAGAAAAAAAGTCATTTTGGTGAGAGGAAATACATTTTTTGGTCACCCACAAATCATTTTGCCATTTTCTCTGACTTCACTGTAAACCAAACCAAATCTGTTTTCCAAAGGGAGATTTGCAAAAACATATGGAGACAGTATCTACTTATCAGTACAGCATAGAACTTCAAAGTCCACCCAGGAAATGAGAGATATTGGTGACCCACTGTGGCTGACAGGATTTGAATCTGCAGGTTGAGGAAGTTGCTTTTGGCTCTAATTACTGAACTACAGACCTAACATGGGATTCTCACAGAAGTATCAACATCTCCAAGAGAGACAGAACTTCTTATTCAGCTCTTTTTCAGCCTTTCCAATTGACAGGCTTAAATGCTCTTGTGTTCCGTCTGCTGGCTGCTGACCTCATTCAAACACATTCAATGAACAGGGAATGAAAATACTTTACTCGAACTTCTGAACTGAAAATCAAGAGCTTGCTAGTGTCAGTGAAGTGTGTCAGCGTTCATCATCACCTGTCTAAGGCCCTCTCCTCACCTCTCTGTATCTCTCTTTTTAAAAAACAAAAACTGTAATACAATTTCAGATCTGGCTACTTTTCAAACAAGTGATTGTCCACTGAAGAGAAAGAGCACCATTGAAGAAAAAAAAAAAAAAAAAAAAAGGAAGAAAGAAAGAATGTGAGAAAAAAGAAAACACACAAAACAGCACAACCACCCCAGGACTAATGGTGGAAATGCCACTATCCCCACAAATTGTTACCTGCAAGACAGAGCAGAATTTGGATTCAAGCACATCAGATGCAGTGACTAGTGGACACTGTGCCGCTGGGCTGCGCATCGATAGTGATCATCAAATATGTGTGTGAAGGGCCTGTGGCAGTTCTGTGTTGGACTGTACCTAATGGTGTGGTCGCACAGCCTGGCCCAGGATTGCTGTACTGCAGTTTAGATTGGGTGGTAGTGCACATTTTAAAAAAAAAATTGTCTCAGGATATGTTCATTCAATTTTATTTCTGAATGCTGCATAGTTGATGATTCACTGAAGTCGATCACTAAGTTGATATTTTATTTTTTGTAATTTCTGAACTCTAAAGGGAAAGAAATTTGTTCTGTCTCATGGAGTTGGAGGGCAGTAACTGCTACATAAGAAAAGTTTCAGGTCCCAAAACACATAGGTACCAATGAATTATAGCTACTGAAAGACAGAACAGATGGTCAAATACATAAGATGAGGGGCTGCCTTTATACCAGCTAGTGTTAAACAAATGGATTGGGCTGTAAATAATTACTGCATGGAGTGGCTTAGAATTTAATTTAGATACTTAGTCTATTTTTAAGTAGTAGAAAGAAACATTTGCATTGTTGCAAATATGTATAATTTACTGACGTAGGTTCCACAAATAATAGCATAAAATAACATTTTAATCCATTGGCCATCTGTTTTGTTACATTATTCTGACTGCAAATGTGTTTTAATGCTATTTCAGAAGGATGCAGGTTGTAAATTTCAGCTTTGGAAGCATGTTACACAATAAGCATTTCTAACCAGCAGTATAAGACTTACAAAGTAAACACAGGTTTTATTTACTATTTTGTCTTCTGGATTGTCCCTTATTTTCTTCCTCCTAGACTATGCATTTCTTTGTTGGTTCCTCTTCAGTTTTACTGCTCTACAACATCCCTTCATTTTTATTTATTTTTATAGTTTGCTATGGCTTATATTCTAAACTATTAGGCCTGTACTTCACATGTTGTCTAAGACTGGATTTTGCACTATAGCAGAATAGAGTCCGGCCATCTTCCTTTTCTAAGATGATTTTTTTTTAATTGGCTTTTTTTTTTTTTTGTAAAAAGCACAATGATCTAATGATTTTTACAACAGTTGGAATACTGTTGAGAGCACAGAAAAAGTACTCCGATGAAATTGTGCTGGAGTCCAAACCTTTTTCTTACTAACTATATAGAGAACATACAAAATCTTCCAGTAGTAGCACCTTTTTCACCATCCTATGCCCAGGAACATGCAGAACCTTCTGCACTTTCTGAGGAAGAGATGTATTTTAAATGATTGCTATAATGCTTGCTTTCTCTTCTTCAAATGGCAAACAGAAACTAGATCTGTTACGGCAAAATCTCTGAGATATCAGTACTAGATGACAAAGTAATTAGTTACAGCTTCTAGTTCTTTCATACCTTAAGGCATGTTGAAATAGATATGATTATGTATTTATCTAATTTATCTATTATATATTTATTTCATATTAAAATATTGTTTAAAAATGCATGACCTTGTTAAATGTTGAGCTTTTAAAAGAATGAAAATTTCACTTCCAAATTCAAGCAAGATTTTATCACCAGCCAGCCTGGGACCAAAAGATTTCTATACATAGCTTTCTGTCTTATTAATTTAACAACAACTTAACAGATGGCCCTTCCTGCTGCTGGCCATCTCAAGCAGGGACTTGACTTTATTAGACTAACAATTCCTCTGAGAGATTTTTACAGTAAGATATTTATAAGCATATCATCAAATTCCACAACTGTCTAGCAAACAGACATACAATACCAAAACCCTTGTAACTTTAGAAGAAGAATTCAAATGGGTCTGAGGTACTGAAAAGGGCAAGCTTCAGGTAGTTTTCTAAGAGATAACTGAAGACCTAATTCTGCTTGTAGAAAATCTTCACTCATCTGGGAGCGGAGCTGTTGTCTCACAACACCCGTGATGTGTCTATTGGACTTTCTTTCCTATAATGCAAGATTTCCATTTGCACCTGTAATTGGTAACTCATTTGCTTGTAACCAATAGCAATAGTGTCCTCAGGCTTCTAAAAGCATGCATACTCTTTATACATGTTATGTGACTTCCATGATAAACTCCAAATTATGAATTATCAATTCAGCGATTAGGCTGTACTTCCTCCACTATTCAACAGTGAGGCAATATAGAACTGAGGCTGGTGGAAAGAAGTGGGTTATACCTACAGTTACAGATTTTCCAGGAGTAAATATTCCACTTCAAAATATTTGAAATTGTATCTTAACTTCAACACATGATTATGCATGAACATAAACTAAACCTGACTATTAGGTTTGATATTATTCTGCTAATGTAATAACAGAAGAAAGGAGAGCAGGATCTTTTCCTTTTCTTTTTATGAAAAAGTTATCATGTACAAGGAAATAGCAGCTAACAGCCTACTATAGGTCAAGTTTTGCACTTGAAAGAGAGAATTTAATTTCTCCACTATGGTCAACTTCCAGTTTATTTTATCATGTTTACTTGTTAAACTCAAATTAAGACTTAAAGGTAGATTATATGTTGGTTAACTTTGTTTTTAGTAAACGTAGTGTCTTCGGTAGAATTAAATGTATCAATCATGAGACAAGCCTATAACACGATATGCACAGCTACGTATAAGATAAAAAAGTAATATTATATTTTCTACTATATATGTATAAAAATGCATATATATAATTTCAGTATGAAAAATTCAAATGAATACTTCTTGATAATTCATTCCAATATATACTTTTTTTTCTGATGTAAGAAAAACATCAAAATGGAGGAAGCTAATGTTGCAAGTGTATATATAGACATCCTTCATAGAATGGTCTTTTGACAGAATAGTGTTGTAATTCTTAGAGAATGAAGAGTAATATAACATGAAGTATTTACTATTCTGTTTGTGTAGCAATTTTCAGTGAGAAGAACAGTCATTGGAAGGATTGCTTTTTTTTTTTTTTTTTTTTTTCTTTTTTGACAGGTCTGGGTATGAGTTGGGAATAAATTACTCAACATAACTGTGTAGTGGAAACTTAAAGGGATAGCTATCTACTAGAGGTGGTATTTGACTATTTAATAGACCTGATAGAATAATTGAATAGTTCAGGCACAGAAGGAAGAGCCCCAAAAAAAACATTCCTTGTTGATTTCATTTTATAGTTATCAGATTCAAAACTTGTCAGAATTTCAACTTCAAAAGAGGAGAGTAAAAATCAATAATTCCTGAAGCAGGCTCAACATTACCTCTGAAGTAAACTGGCATTATCTTTTTGCTTTAAGTTACTACATATTTGTTAAGACACTGAACTTATAAGATTGCTCCCTCTCCTGATAAAAGCTAAGGAAAGTGCCTTTTAACCACTCAAATCTAATGGAAAATTTTTGGGAATACTATACCAATTGTCCTGTCAGTCCTGAGTTTGCATAACAATTTGTATCAGGCCAAGCACACTTGCATTTCTGTTGCAGACACTGTGTCTCTTAACAGTCTTTCTGGTTTGCTTTTTCTCTGCTCCTTTTTTTCCCCGCTCCTTTTTTTCCCCTGTCTCCAACTCACTGACACTCTCAGGAAATAAATCAGATTGGGTTTTGGTCAACTGTTACGTGAGTAGTCCTGAAGGGAACATATAACTGGTGAGGAGGAGGTGACAGTTACTTAACTTTTACTTCTCTGAGTCACTGACTTAGTTGTGGCTGTGTACTGTGTTGGTACACTCCATCTCAACTACTGAACATACAAAATTTGTCTAGCCTGCCACACTGATAAGTTTGGAAATGTCACAGTCTGCAGTAATTGCTGTTTATAGAGTACTGTTGCTGTGAAATAGCATCTGCTTTCACCTCTGAGCCTTGGCATTTTAGAAAGGAAATATACATTTGCTATCGTACCATCACCTATCTTTCATAAGTCTTACAATGCTCACTTGGTTCTTACTTATGAAGGGCTTTCAGGAAGTGCAAGAAAAGCATGCTGGAAATGCAACATGTGAGTATTCATTAGAAACAGAAATACGAGATTCATTAATACAAATCATGTAATAGTTTCTGTGATCTCCTGAGATCATCACGAACCAACATTCAGCAAAAAAATGGAATAGTAAAGGGTGTCTGTTCAAAGAACTTCCACTTGAAGTACATTTATTTTTTTCTTAGAAAGCATTTGATACTAAAAAGTGCCCTACTTTGACAGGTATGAAATAAATCTGATTATTAATATTCAATACTGATGGAGAAAAAATTAACTGAGCGTGTCATTCATTCGTTAATCATTTCAGAATTAAATAACCAACACAGTTCTTAGATTGCTTTTTGAAAGGATGTAAAAATAAATGAAAGCCTGTTCTAGAACATTATAAGGAAGTGGATGTTGAATCAAGAACAGCGACAAACTCAGTAAATCAGAATAATTCTTACATCTCAGCTTTGTATTGTTAATTTAAGGGGATTGATAAAATTACATTCTGTCTTTCAAAAAAATAAATAGATAAAACCTAAAAAACTGTCAGTTCAAGGGAAGAAAATCTTAATTACTAACACTTGTAAAAAGAAATATTTTAGTTTGTCTTCACTAGCTTTGAAACATGGACATAAAATGTTGACACACATTTCCAGTGATAAAAGGCGATTTTGATTCAGTGTAACCTCATTGAAAAACCTTACTGCTAAGATGCAATTACCTCCAGAATAGCAGCAGACATCCCCTCTGAAATGGAGCTGTTCACCACAGCAAAGCACCTTTTCATAGCAGCATGAAGATCATCTTGTGGCATCTCCTGTAATAAATATACTCCAGGTGCCCTAGAAATAAAACACACACAAATAGGACACCTCCTAAGAACATGCTCTAACAGTTCTTCCTAAAACTTAGGGTAATGATGGCAGGTGGTCAGAGCAATTCAGGCATGGTTCTCATGCTAACAATCACTTGGTCCATGGACAAGCCACTTTACCACATTTTTGTTAGCCTTCTATCTGTAAATGTGGTTATAAATTCAGTACAGTACACATTGCCATCTGCCACTTCATACTCTGTTCTGAAATTTTATAGTTGTTCACTTAAAATCGTGCTCTCTAACCACAATCAGTCTTATAAATGAAGAAGCCGAGTTCAGTGGATAAGGGTGCAATCTTCCCTTAAAGAATTTGTGTCATATAGACAGGATGCATGCACAGATTTGTGAAAAATACACAGTTTAAATATTTAGGGAAATGGAATGTGATCAGCAGAATGGTCTACTGCAGGAGATGCTGACTTTTCAGATGCTGGCTTTTGGGGATAGAATGTGGTTCTGAAAGATCTCTTCTGCTTCCTCTTTTATTATAAGCACTCTTCTGTTCTGAAGGGTTAAATTTCTACTGCCATCATCTTCCTCAGATTAATAAGGGTGAGGAAAATCAAGGGTGAAGGGTAGAAAAATAGGGTAATTGGGTGTTCAGTCTCAGATGAAGTGAATGAGATCTTTAAGACTAGTGATCATTTTTGGAAAGTCAGCATCTCCTCTACTTGATGAGCCTGCCCCTGCCTCTTTAACCTTGACATGAGGTCACTAAGCCAGACGGATACACATCAACTAGACTTTGTTAAACATTGCTTTTATAATTGTGCAGTAACATCCAGATTCTGTAGAGATAACTATATAACTGGAGTATAAATGCATGATTACAGGAGTCACGAATAACCTGATAGAAAACAAAAACCATCTATTGCTCCAAAAATGGAATTGCAAAACATATGTTTTATGCAGATTTTATTATCAGATATTATCAAACAGAGATAGTATGGTTGTTCTGTTGAAGTCAGACAATTCTAGGTTCTGTGGACACAGAAAAAAATCTAATTCTTCTAACATTTATATCCATCCATCAGGAAGCATATAAACTAGGGACAGAAAAAAGCTATACAGGGTTATCTTGACCATCTACTAATTTATCCACCTACAGCATGCATGCAAAATCTTGCAGAAGTCAGGATGAAAGAAAGAATGAAAAGACCCAAAAGAATAATAAATATAAATCACACTAAATCAAACCTGATTTAACACAAAACATAAAGAGATCTAATGGTTATTCTAAAATTTAAAATGTGTAGAATACCTAGTCTGAGAATGTTACATGCCAAATACTCAGAACACATTCGTTAGTCAGAGTTGTGCATGTATGGTCATTTGTATATACAAAAGAGCGTTTACACACATGATATAAAAGCTAGTTAGCCAACTGCTTTCATGTGGAGCAGACAGGCGGCTTAACATTAACTTCTTACCTTTTAACTTTTTCCTTAACTTCATTTGTAAAAAGTGGATCAACCTAGAAAGGAATACACACACAGGTATATGGCACTATTTCAGCACTATAGCATATGTTTGAAGTACCCAGAAAAGAAAAATAAATTTTAGAACATTTTTAACTAAAATATTTAACTGTATGGATGTGCTGAGCTTTAAAATCATACCACAGATCTGTAACTTGGTGGTTACATTTGACTCTTCAGACAAATGCTCTTGTGAGTGATTGACACTCGGAATACCCAGCGAGGGGGGTGAGTGCACAGTGTAGCAGAGCGCACACTGACTACTCCAGTCTAAACCTTGAAGTGACTCCGCTAATGCAGCATAGCTTTGGGCTACTGTCAGAAGGGGAGGTGCCATTTCTTCTCCCCTGACATCCCTCTGGCTGCAGGTTCTAATTAGAGCCAGATCAATTTAACATGAATGACTGTTTTCAGATGACTCTGCTAAGGCTAACATGATTCAAACCACTGATTTGACAACTTACTGTCTAAGTGAGGAACAATGCACTGATGTGCCAAGCAATTGTCTGTCTCTTTCTGTATGGAGTAAGCAACGTGAGGAAGGAAAGGAACTTTTCAGGCTTTAGTTAACACAGGAAGCAATACACATGTGAACTGAGACACATAGATGTTATACACTGACAGAAATGTTTGAAACTCATAAACAAAAATCTAAAATATAGTCTAACATGAAGGCATGCTAGTATTATTAAAAAGTTATCTAAGCTGGGCAAACAAATCTTAACTATGTCTGCTATTTTCATTTAACATGAATAAAAATGAGCACAACTTGGAAATCCTTAACTATACATGAGGAACAGACCTAAACTTTTTTTATTAAGGCTGACTGACTGTTTTAGATTAATTTCTGATAGTTTGCATAGCATGTAGCAGTTGTAAGTACTGGCAAAAACATAGTTTATTTTTTAAAAAGCATGTTAATATTTTGGTTTGGGGTTTTTTTCACATTATGAGATAGAAAACAAAAAGCATTTTAGAAAACTCTTGGAAAGAAGTAATAATTTATTTTATAACTATGTGTACTTTGAATACAAGATTAATTATTTTATGAAAACAGTGCTTCATAAATTAAAAGATTCAAGCAAATCACTCTTGCACTATGGAATTAATTCCTACTGAATGCAGGAAATAAAAGGCTTACATAACTGTTTAAGAAAGTATTTTTGGTAACAGCAGGGGGGAAAAATCAAGTTCCCTTTCCTGAAGCACTACCTGATCCTCCCAAAAGAGTATGATACAGATCCATACACTAAACCAGTATGTCATGTCACGGGTTCCCTAGATACTTCATACTGAACTTCACAATTGCTAATTCTATATAAATATCTGTTCAGCTTTTTCCCCAAAGTACTATTTTGATGCCGAGCTCCTCTCATGAGGAACTGTACTCTGTTTCCATTAAAATCAATGGAGTACTTGCAAGTGATTTAATGAGCAGTGGGATATGGTCTTTTGCTCTTCTACCTTTAGAAGGCTGAGAAAAACTACAGCCTGTGACTCATAAAATTTGTAAGATATTAATTTCTATCCCATCTACTTCTGTGGAAGCCAAGAAATAGCCATCTGCCTCATAAACAGAACAAATCTTTAAGCTGTATTCTTCTATTGGTAGATATTCCAAGAAGTCTGGCCTGAATATGAGAATTCAGTTAAAATATTACTTCAGGATGGGTGTAGCAATGACTTAGAGAAGTGATCCCCCTGAGCTACATTTAGGAACTTGAGGGGGCACAGTTATCTAACCACAGGCTCAATATAACAGAAATTAGATACAACATAAGCTGTTCAGTAAGTTGGAAATGCACTTAAAAGATGTGATTGCTTCCAAAGCCAACTGACTATGGCATGATGCCTAGGAACTTAGCACAGTCTCAGAAAAAGCAACTGAAAAGAATGTTACTTCCACCCAAAATGTCTCCATGATCCAGTTCTACATGTAGAGTGTTTGTTGACACATTTATTTTGTTACCTATCAATGTAGCAGGCAAATACAATAATCAGTTATCTATCATATTTTGTTAAAAAATCATCCATCCAGAGGAATAGCCTTCAGAGAGCTGCAAATTTCATCAGTTTAGCAGAGATGAGAGGAAAGCAGCTTGCGTTGTATGAATAGTTTCTATCAGAACAGATGAGATAAGATGACACATGGAAAGGGGAGTGGGCACATGGCAAGAAACCACACCTAACAGGACCAGATATGCTATTAAGGAAGTTCTACTCTGCTGACAGGCAAAGAAACATCTGAGACACGTTTGACAGTACAGAAAGTCACAGATCAAACACTGAACAAAGACGAAGGTGCCTGTTAAGCACAGGGCCTACAACGATCAAAATCTAGGAAATCTTCTGTAAACATACTATATTAAATTGCAATCATATAAAAATTAACTCATACAGAAGCAATGGTTCAGAAACACCTTGTTTATAATGCTGGGACTACTGTGGCCCTCTAGACTCTGTAGGGAAAACCAGGTCTTAGTACATTTGAAGTCGTGGCAGAATATCACCCAGAGTACTAAAGAGTGCATCTGTAAGCATATTCAATACAGATGGGAAGAATCTGCCCCATTGTGCAGGTTTGTGAGGTTTTGACAGCATCACTGTCTGAAAGGAATCAGCTTTATTCATGGCAGCAGGTGACCCCACATTACAATTTTTATCTAATCGATTGCTGAACAGGCTCAGCAAGACCAAGCTTTCCCTACAACTCAAAACACAACTGTTGTCTGCGATACAACACAACCTACCCGCACCAAATGCACCAGAAATATAAGATCCTTGCAAATATATTAAACTCTGCCATTCTGCATCATCTTTTTCATATACTAAATGCTTAGAAAAATTCAATGTCTTCTGGCTTAAAATGTAGATCTACTACTGCGATTTGGGACAATTAACAATTTGTGAAAAATACAGATTCAATTCAGCTGAAGCAATGTGGGAACTAGGATCTAAATTAACAAAACCTCAGGTCTAAAAGAAAAATACATAACCTTTTAAAGAAATATTGGAATAGCTCATTTCGCCATTTCTAACAAAAGTTTAATTTTCAGGGAATTTGTCTTGAAGAATAAGCAAACAGAGGGTTAGAAGAGTTGTCAGCTTAATGGTAGCACTAGCTCTTACCTTTTAAAAAGTATCTCAGTGAGTAGGACACTTATTCAGGATGCAGCTGACAGAATTTCATATTCCTCAGCAGGCTAAGGAATTTGAAATTGTATCTTTGTCTCCTATCTGATTCTCCTAATTATTGTGCTCTAGGATATTCTGGAGCAGGTTATTAGACTTCCTCTAGTTGTTTAGTTTAGTTGTGTCAACAGCTGTTTCATTTTAGAACTAGCCCAGAAAACATACAGGAGGTAACAGTCATTCATTATAAAGAGATGGGCTACGTGACCTGATAGGTCCCTCCATCTGTGGAGGTAGTTATTCAACTAAAATTGTCTCAATTGGCATGGAAAGAAGTTGGCCAGACGAAAAATAGCTTTCAGTGGAAAACAATATCATTACATATACAGCAATATTCTGTACTGTCTACAAGAATGGTTAAGAATTATGCAGAGACTATATAGTGGGCTTGAAGAGGTTACCCAGCAGCCAAATGCAAGTTTTGTGGCCTTAACTTTTTAAATGTTTCATAAACTTCTATCCTTGGTATATAAAGCTGCTGAAAATTAGCTATTGTTTCAAATTTCATGATAGAAAGAAACAAAAGGAAAACTGAAAGAGGAGATAAATGCTAAAAATTTTACATTTTACAGGACCCAATCCTGCAACATTATTTAGATTGAACTGTTTGAGACAATCAAGCATAGCAAATGCAGGGAAAATGTTATAATCTCATGTAAGCAAAGCAGAAAATAGTGTGTGGGACTTTCTTAATTAATAGAACTTAATGTGTGTTTTTTAAATATTCACAATAAAACATGACTTGCTTCACAGATAATGGCACTCACTTTCTTAAGATTTTGTGGTTTGAGAAGTAATGCGAACAAGAAAAGTACAGCTAAATACCAACAGAGCTGAGATTTATTTTCATCCTTTAGCAGTAATTCAGTACTATGGAAGAAATATGGTTTAAAATGTTTTAAGGAGGTTCAGTCCTTGATCCTGCCTATGCACTGCCACAGGGTTATTTCTGGTAGCTTACTGTAAAGATGTAAAAGTTAAGCAAATTTTAAAAGATGACTAAAATATTTAAAATACTTACTGGAGGCAGCAAGTGCCTCTCTTGATTCTAAAGCACAACCTCATTACACCTGCTCTAGATTTGCCTTCCACACCAGTTCACTTTCAAATCACTTTGTGTATTAGCGTGGAAAAAAAATGCAGATAAAATAAAAATGTAGAAACAGCTTTAAAAAATAAAATCCCATGCCAAAAAAATTTACAAAGAATGAAACTGAATGAGAAAAGAGAAAAATAGTTCTTATTTGCCCATTCAGATTCTATTTATTTTCTTATAAAACAGACTGCCTGAAAGTTTTCAGGCTCCTGTGAGGATGAATCAGAGATAAGACTTCTAGAGGGGCATGAACTCATTACTCAGATGAAACAGTGAAGCTTTTAGTACCCTTTAAGCATCAGCAAGAGTTTGTTTCATATGACACAGCTGCCTACTCATACCTTTTCCACTGGTTAGATTAAGGCTACAGGCTGCCTCTTCAAGACTTCTGCAGCTATGGATATACATTTAGCACAACTGATTTCTTTCTCAAAAGTCTCGCAATTAGTTTTGTTAGTTTAGTGTAAACTATGTTGACTTGACATGGGCAACATACTAGAAGTAGAAGCAGGACAGTCTCTCTGCAGCTCCAGCTGGTTCCTCAGCAGGGCTGTGTGAAGGAACCTCATTTTGCACAGGATTAGCGGCTCAGAGGCATCTTTCCCCTGCTCCCTCACCAATTTATGGTGCAGTCACCACTGTTGAGGATCTGGCCCACAGCAAATACTGTGCTAGCAAATATTTAGGTAGGGTACTGGTTAGACTGACATTTGGAAAATACTCATCCTTCTCTCATGGTTCTGAAAATAACCATGCATTTTTCAGTTTTGCACTTTGCCAGCACTGTACTTAACAGAAATCATAAAAACATTTACATGTTCATGGATGGTTCCTTTCTAAAGACCTCAGTTTCTGCACGTGAAATCAGACAGGTCTCAAAGTGGAAATAACTGGGAAGAATGGTGGATACTCAAACATCAAGTTTTAAGAGACCATTAGAAAAGAAAGGACTGGCAAAAAATTTATGCAACCTTTTACTCCCTTTTAAACATTCAGAACAGACTCAGATTTGGCTGAACTGGTGTATGCTTCCCTCTTCAGAGAAGTTCAGTCCTGTTACTTCCTCAGAAATCATGCTGCTTGATTTAAAAATGATGGGGTGAAGTTAGGAGGGTTCAATAGTTTTTCTTGTTTATCTCCATGCTTCATAAGCCCACATTTTCAAACCTTTCTCACAATCAGAAGAATAATAATGCATTATAATGACTGTGATAGTTTTGATTTTAAACTCTTTCAGGAGTTGATGCTTCATGAAAAGCAAACCATTGCTGAGAAACTCATGACAACATTTTGAGACTGCAACCCAACTGTAAGTTTTATCTAAAAAGAATTAGCAAACACAAAAGAGCTGCCATTTAACTGATTGACCCTGTTGTGAAAAAAGGGAATTAAAAGTTGTAACTTTCAAACTTGTTAAACAGGATCTTTATGACTTGGGGCAGGGGGGAAATGAAAGCTCACATTAATATTGGCCAGCACTTTTACTAAAATATATATAATTGATTTGGAAGGAATTATACCAACTCTAAACTTAATCTGAGATGTGGACATGTAAGAACAACTCAGTTTCTGATTTTATTTATTTTATTCAACCCCACCTTCCCTCTCGGATATCTGTATCCCAAGCATTAGTGCACTCTGATTATAAATGTGAAACAGACTCTACCAATTTTATTTGTCAGCTCAAGCTCTGTCCTTGCCGTCTCGTGTCAGTCAGAAACCTAGCATCATTTTGCACTCACTGACAACTGTTAATTGCGTACGAATTGAGACTACCAGAAATGGCATAAAAATCTAAATAGGATGGAACAAAGACACAATCCTCCACGTGAACAAAAGACCTAAGAACAGGGATAATGAGCATCTGAGATCACCTTCACGGTATTAAAAACCCTCATTAACAATACCTGATAAAAAAATTCTTCTAGATGGCAACTGTTGCCTTTCAAAATATTTGATAGGCTCATTTATACATTATTCATCTTGAAATAGGCATTTCTAGTATTTTACTTGCAAGAGTTCACATTTTTAATACTTTGATTCTCTACAAAATTTTGTACTATCCCACAGTTATAAAAACAGAAGGCAATATTAGAATCTAAATATTTTGATACTTTTTATCTTCAAAAGTTTTTTCTGTAATCAAATGAAACACTAAATGTTTTGTTCTATGACACCATAATAGATTCATAGCATTAATCAAGTCACGTGCGTAAGCTAGACATAAAATTATAGTAATCCAGCTGCAAACGCCCTTTATAAAATTAGTCCAGGCCTTCTAAACAAAAAAAATAAAAATCAGTGTATGTAAAACAAATCTACAGCTGCTGTAAACTATTTTAGTGCTATCGATAACAGTTTGCATTAATAAAAACCTAACTGAATAATGTTGGTCTACCTCAGTGCATACCCTCTTAGAAAAACCCTCTCAGTTGCTTTTCCTTTTGCAATGCAAAAGCAGGGCACATGCTGAGTGAGGAGGCCTTTTAGCTGAGAGCAGAACTCTGAACGTCGGAAGTCTGAGCACTGGAATCACTTCCACTTCCACAGTTCAGACCTGTTGTGAATGGCCTTTACAGCTGCTATGTTTGTACCTTCTTATCTCTGTAACAGAAGTCCTCTGACTTAGGTTCAGTTTGGAAAGAATTATTGGGATATGTTAGATGTGAGTAAATGGAAGTATTTAGAAACAAACATACAAATAAAATAAAAATTACAACAACTTACTGCAGGTCCAATTATGCCCAGGTGGACACTGGGATCCTTTCTGTGCCAATCTAAAACAAAAGAGGAAAATATTTTTTCTTAATCAAAATTATTAATTTTTAATTTCATTTTTTCCCTGAAATCAATGCAAATAGCGACATGAATAAAGAAGAAGCAAATATTGTATTACTACTTAAAAGACTGAATATGTACCAGATTTCACACTCAGTCCTCACATTACTCCTCAGAATTCAAATTATTAGCATATCTGAAAGTTAGTATTTAGCATTTCTGCTTCATCTAATCTCTTATGATTCGAGGGTTATTTAACTAACTCAGATATTAATTTTGAATCATCTCAAGAGAATAACACTCTACATAATGTAGTGACTCTGGCCACTAAGACAAAATTATTTTAATTTTTTCCTGTGTAAAGAAACATGTGGAAGCAACTGCAATCATTACAATTAATAGTGTTATATGCACAAGAGAAATCTGCTGCTCTTTCAATACCAGAATAGAACAAAATCAGTTACTTGACTTTAATAAACTACATTTGTTAGTAAGTGTCCCAAGGTGGTAAAGCCTTATAAAAGTAGGCTGAATAATGGAAGCTAAATTTCCAACTTGGGACACCTGAACCTTTTATAGACACAAAGAGAACCTGGTAGAACATTCACCTCTGTGACTATGAGAAAACTTCAGCCTAGTTTACAGTGTTGAGCCACCCACAATGGGTGGTAAAATTTGCTTGTTATTTCAATTATATTAATTAGCACACATGCAAATCAGTAACAGCCAAGGGACAGTAAGATAAAAAGCTCTTTTGAAGTAGGTGAACTCTTCTTTTGTCTTCCATTAATATTGTATGTAACAGTAAAATACTTTTCCCAGCAAGTAAAATCAAATATTGCTTTGATTTTCGTGCTCTGTTATTCCCAGCAGGCCGGAAAAGACGCTGTACAGAAATATGTTTTGAACAGATCAATGGTTACATGAGCATTTCTTTTTTTAAAAGTAAATATATTATGAAGTTTTATGCAGTGAATAGAACAGCTTATGCCAAACTACTAAACATTAAAAAAAAATACATCTGAATCCAGGGACAAAACAAGGGTATTCAAATAGCGAGTACCTACCTGAAAATACATCTACTAAATGCAGAGGGTCTTTGACTCTTCGAAGTCCGCATATCAAAAGAAACATATGTAAACTGCCTGTATCTGTAGGAATGTCTGTAACAAATAATTTTAAAAGTCTGAATGCAGATAAAACAGCTCAATACTCCAAATTGTTTCATGAATGAGCACATACAGTGGTAAAAGCAGTAATAGGGTGGATTCTGAAAAATTCTCATTACTGTTTGCTCTTGCAACAATCTTCAAATCAACTCAGTGGAGAACTTAATCATGTACACTATTTTATAGAGCACAGAAGTTTATTTCCAGAGGCACCGAATGTGGAGGATTTGGAGAAAAGACAATGGCTGGTATTCTTGAACATCAGAACCAGCTTTGACTGATTCGGCAACTATACAAATCAGTGTGTTTCTCAATATTTCCACCCATAAGAAGAATAACTTTGCATCCATATAACTCAACACTTACTTGTGAGGTTTAGCTAATCAATGGCTGTTGGGATCAGAGCCCTTGATCTGACACTTTTTGTTACAGAAGATCAGGTAAATGTCCCATAGTTACCTATCCCTAATATGCCAGCACTGCTACAGAATAATTAACTAGAAGTGAAATTATTACAGAGCTTTTATTTTAACCTTATTGATAAGAAACACAAATGGAAAATAATTCGGGAAAAAATCTCACCATGGGAGTTTTTAACACTGAAAATACCTCTTGCAAACACACAGTAACAACCCCTAAAAAAATAATTTTGTAGGCTATATTAGAAAGAGAAGATCTGATGTATAATATTGCAGTTGCATTGGGTATATGACAGCACAATTAATTCAGAACATACTTCTGGAGAAGGGTCACTATTTGATGAACTTTGGTAAAGTGTGTTTATGAAAAAACAACATAATTCACAAATTGCTGAGCAAACACACATAACAGCAACATAATTTAATAAACACTAGAAGAGTTGAAATGTTCATGTTTGATTTACTGTACTGAACAAATCAGCTTGCCGTCCTTCAGTTCACCTATTTAGTGAGCTCATGGCAAGGATGGATGACATGTATTAACACTAGGCAGTTCAACAAGGAGCATCAAGCTGCTGCTCTTCAGCAGCAGGCTGTTTGTGGGACATTAACACGTGGGTCCCACACCGGGGCTATGTCCCACAGCTACCAGGAGGGCTGTGCTGCATGGTCAGAATGACTGTCTGCGGGGTTTATGATTAGCAGAAGGCAGCAGGACAGTTGTGGTGGCACCGTCAGCTGCTGAACACTGCAGAGCTCCCTTCTCTGAGGCCTCCTCCTCCTCCCTTCCACTTCCACTCTTCACTAGTCACAGGAACAACTCAGTTGCTTATATGGCACCGCCAAATCACTGCAATTTGTAATTTAAGATCACCCAAACTTGGTACCAGCTTAAAGTTCCTCATGGTGTTGTATAACATAGCTGCAGGGTCTGCTCCAGGCCCTGGAAGAAATTATGCCAGGAATATCTCCCCTCATGTGAAGGAACTGGATTAACATAAACTCTGCATCAAACCTCTATTTTGTGGGAGGGGGAGAATCAAGAAGAGTGGTGATTCATGACATATTCTAGTACTATTGCTTTTAAAATTAAAATCCAGTTCAGGGACTTTTAAATGCTCCTTGTCGCAGGGTTCATTACTGAGTCTGTTTCATTTAACTTAAACAGCTTGAGCTGTCAAGAGTGGCTGCAGCAGACACAGTAAGTAATATTTTACTGTTTATCGGACCAAGAAATAATTTGTAATTTATAATACACAAACATTTGGATTGAAAAAGCCATTCTTCTGGTGCAATAGGCCATTAATACTGTTTGTTTTTAAGACATGCAGCAGTGGTTTCAATTCATGAAATGAACTCACACAAAATAAATTACTAGAAAGAATCAGCAAAATTCAGATTGCATTTTAACTATACATATGGCACAAATATTCATTTTAAATCATGATCTCCCACCTATCAATGTTCAGCTCCGGCTATTTTGGAACAAACTTAAAGTTAGTGCTGAAAGCTCAGTCAGACAGTGATGAGAAATCAGGACTCCCTGTTCTCACAAATTATTGCACTCTTGATGTGACAGTACCCTAATCAACATTAACTATGCTTGAAATAACTGTTTCTTTTTATCTCTTAACATCTTTTTGTTTCTATCTTATAGCTTTCAGTCTTTTCATTTTATTAGATAAGGGTATAAAGTGCTCTGACAATGAAAAGCCCTAATGGACTGATTCTGTGCAGTCCTGACTAGCATTCTGCTTCCTGTATGAAAACCTTAACCCAAAAAAGAAACAGGAAATTGGACCCAGAGACAGTAATTGTCCTTCATAATTTGGATTCTGCCATTCAGTTCCAGTGGCATTTAAAGGTACTTCTCCCAAGAATCTCATCAATAACCCTCTAATTATTTCAGTAGTGAAATTACCTAAAATAACATTTATTAATTAAAATAGCCCAACTATTTGACCTCTATTACTTTGAAAAGACATTCACAAGCTTGAACTCTCACTGTAGACTATCCCCTTTATGCAACTTTACAAAACCCTACTTGTAATGAAATTTTACGCACTTTTATCTGAAACAGCAGATATTTGGTACACTGGACCACAGACTGGATCCTACATGGTGTTTCTAAAAACTGTCATAGAAGGGCTAGTCTAAAAAGGATTTTCCTCTGCCATTCCATTTAGTGAAGTGAGAATCAGTTGTAGTTTTATTTTATTGTATGCTATAGATCTTAGTCATCACATAATTCATTTTTACAGGCACACCTTCCCCACTCAACCCACTTAGAAGCATATAAAGACATCCCCAAGAAGACTGCATTACCAGCACATCACTGCCACTGTTTAGTGCTAGGAATTTACTCATTCTCTGTCTACTTAAGATCAAACTTCAGCAGCACTTGTGTATCTTGTTAGTGTTCTGCTCGTTCACTGAAAATGGTTAAATTCACACATCAAGATGATGCCTGCATCAGTGTTTTCCCACCTGTTGCTTTCTCAAGCCTTGCTAGCACTCCTGCTGTGAAAAAAAAAGTAACCATTTGTACAAGAAAGCAATCATGTTAGTATGTTTTGTCCTTACAAGAAGACTGAAAAGGGGAACATATTAAGAGAGTAACTGCAATAGCTGCCTTTACCAGATATAGCCATCAGCTGGGTGAAAACTAGTATTTGAAAAAAAAATTTTTTCTTTTTCCTTGAGCTTAAACAAGACTTTCAGCATGTGAATTTTTGCTATCATTCTGCTTTTCCAAGATATGCTAATCTGTAATAAGATAGTACCACCTTGTGTGATTTGGTTCTGAAATGGAAATACATCAATATGGCACAATCACCTGATTTGCTCTTTTGATATATTCACTGTGTTACTATCTTGTGACATGCAAACACCCAAATAACAAAAAAATGCTTGTGTCTGTTTCTCCCCATTTCTGTTAGTGTTACAAAAGCAAAGATTTGAAACAGCACACCGTGCTTCATTATCTCTTAGCTCATGCATCCTTCTGTTTGCTTCGCAAAGAAAATACAAAATGGGAAGTTTTGTACATAATCACTAGCAATAAAAAAAAAATGCATGGTACATATTTTCCAGCCATCCTTCAGAATCACTATGCACTAAATGCAAGTCAAGTCTTGCCACTGTAATCAACGTCTCCTTCAGTGTCAAAAATAATTGTTTAATGTCAGTAAGAGATGCTCCTTTAAACATGCATTGTCAGTATTTGTCTACGGCTGTGGTCTGTTTTGTTACATTGGTTTTATCTATAAAAAACAGATGCACGTTGGCCAAAGCCAGTCTTGAGCCTGCTTAGCAGGTCACCTGTTTAACAAGATGTGAGAGGTCAAAACAAGAACAGTGATTGATAGGATTAAAAAACCTCATTCCTCTCATCAGGTTGATGTTATGCTGTCCTGATATTCCACACAGGACCACAGGGATAATAACGAACTGCAGGTGAGCTGAAATGAGACAGGCACAGTGGAAGATTAAGACTGACACGGAACTCCCACAGACATGAAACTCCTTTTTCATGATGGAGCAGAGGTGGTATTATGCTGCTCAAAATTGAAACACAGCAATGTAGCATTGGCACTTAAAATTTCAGAGTGGAATTGCAGGATCAAAAGGGTATCCAACTGCTGTGCTAGTGTATTTGTTGACAGTATTGGAACCTGGCATAAAATATATTGGCTAATAGACAAAATGTAATTAATGCTCAGGATTCATGTCTCCTGCTGGCTGTGATTCTGAGTCATGGCATGGCCTAGAGAAAGTTTGTCAAATCTAGACTTAACCATCTAGACTTACCCATTCATCTGCAAGCAGGTTTAATAATTGCTTGACATGAAGCAATGGCACTGAGTTTAACTTTTGGTAAACTATTTTGAGGTCTTCAGTTGCAAGACAGAATGGGAGAATGGAGTGTATTAAAAGTGGAAATTATTTTCATAATGCAACACTGGAAATAGGCTGAAATTGAGATTTTGTTGACCCCTAGTTTGTTCCTCATCTGAAACTATATAACTGTTTGTCACATCAACTATTTTACTATGGTAGTTTACACTTTGGCCATTACAAAAATCTGTACTTAGATGCCAGGATAGCAAAACATGAACATAGGCAGCTAACGGAAAAGCCTAAATCATTTCTGAAGCATTAGTAAGGGCATTGTTTTTCTAAGAAAGGCAAGAATAAGTAGAAGTGTTATCTAAACAGATTTTGAATGAGCAGATTCATTTCACTCCATCCCTCTTTGGTAGTACCAGGAAAAAAATGTAGCAATCATATATGTACAGTAAAAATAAATATATTATTGAAAATCTTTAATCTCACTGAAAAGCTGTAGGCCTCTAAGTGAATGAGTAATATCAAGCATTAGCTTGCTGAGAAGTAAAGAAGCAGTTTGAGAACACCTTAAGTAAGCAATTTTCTCACCACTTGCTCAAATTAAGAAAAATATTTTTGTTATTTAAAAGTCTTTACTGTGCTTTTGTAGGGTGTTTTCAAAACCTCTAGAAAAGAGAAAAATATAAAAAAGGAACAATGTGATTTTTCATTCAAAGTTATTATTTTGGACCTGAACCAACAACCTCACAAAGCCAGAATTCTCAAAATGTGTTCATTCCTTTGCTGCTTAAAATCCAATTTGTACTAGAGGTTAGTATATTTTATCAAGTATATTTTATCAAGTATATGACATAGGTTATAATTTAGGATACAAAGATTGCCTAGAAACATGAAAACAACAATATGCAGTCAAAACATTTGTTATCAAGGATGATTAAATATTTTAAGCTTAATTTTCTAACCCCTGATTTCAAGTTCACTGTTGTGTTGTATGGACCTTTAGAGAACAATACCAAGTCCACATTATTTGGGCTTAGTCATCCATTTTTGGTTTTGTTCAGAAACAAAAATCTAAGCCATGACAAAGTGGTGAGGGTGAATAACCTCTCACATTTTGCTTTCTGTTCACTTTGAACCACAGCAGGTCTTTTACTTGGCTTGAAAATTGTTCAACTATGCATTCCCTATGCATCTGAAAGTATTAACTAATCTAGAAAAGGAAATCCACAGGTTTATTGCCAAGATGTCAGTCTCTAAGATAGTTATTTTATTTTCTTAAGTTTGAAACATAGATAATTTTGTCTAACTCTGGCATATATTTTTGATACTCTAAATCTTCCAATTCGTAGTTATTAAGTTCATCTCCCTATGCACAGCAGATATATCATACATTAGCTCTTTTAGTCTCTTGGCACCAAGAGTTTGATTTTGTCTCTCTTTCACAAGTCAACTATTAAAAACAAGCTGCTCAGACCAGCCAAGTTTTCCAGCTTGTTTGACATGGTGGTGTCCTACTGCAGTACAGCTTCAACATGCTATCTTACTTTACACTGACTCTGAAGTTTCTTTAGTTGAAATCACTGATGACACAGAACTTCGACAATTAGTCCAATTAGGTCTTATTTCAGCAACATACTTAACCACCTGCAGATCTCAAGCATTTATTAATGTTTTATGAATTTGAGCTTTTATTTTACAAAGCAATTTGTTTATTTGAAATTAAGGGGAAGTGGAGGTAATAACTATATCCAAAGTGTTTATACTGCTATGCACATTCAATGGTGAACAATTGCTAGAGTTGCGATGTTTGTGAAGACAAGAGAAGTTAAATTGAACCTGTTAGCTTCGGAGGGGGGGCTACTAATCCAGAAAAATCAGACTGCAAAATTCTCCAGCAGTGCTATTTTCTCCTGTTTCTCATTATTTCTAACAGATCAGACAGCAGGAAAGCTCTATGCTTTCAGATCTGTTGCGGAACACAGTTTACTGATGCTATCATATCATTATTTCTATGGTCAGCAACATATCTGCACAAACTATTATTATTTAATTTTTCTTATGTGGCTCTTTTTTTCCAGCATAGCTTTAAGAAAACATAATGGCTCTGTAAAATTCTGCCTGTGTCATGACAAGTTATGTAAACTTTTCAAGCTCTGAAAATAACCATGCTATGAATCTGAAATTATCCGAGTAGAAAAATCAAACTACAGAAGTATAATGCATATTTTATTCGATAGTGTAATAAGCATCTGCTCCTATAATTCAATGTCACCTTCCGAGAAACCAGTTTTTAATCTTATCTGTTGGGAAAACAAGATTTCTCAGTTTATTAGTATAGACTGTGTTAGTTATCTACATCTTCTAATATCACAATGTCTATGTGTTTATTAGGGCTTACATCTTACAAGCTTCAACCACATTCCAGTGAAATCAAAAGGAGCCTTTCATCACGGTATGATGACATCAAGCCTGTCTGCGATGTTAAGCAACTACGCTGCATCTCTGGGCTGAGTTGTTAGAGAAGATCAGTCTCAGTTTTCACATTTACTTAGACTGTCCTGTCATTTTCTGTGAATCAATCTACAGCAAAAGCCTGAACTTTTATTGTCTCTCAAGTCTATAGATAGGCATCTAAAACTGCTAACAAAACTGTTTATGCTGTATATAGATTCCTGTATTATAAGGTCAGAGAACAACATTTTGATCATCTGGTCTAACCTCCAGAGTGACACAGGCTGTAATACCTCCCTAAATAATCTGAGTTACTAACTATACTGAAAATATTGCCTTCTTGAAGTCTGTGTTAAAATCTGCACAGCTTTTTGGTTTGACTTTTGGTTCAGCTTTTTGGTTTGACTACTGTTGCTGACAGTCTCTCATCCACATAAGACAAGCTCTGTGAAGCTGACTGTTAAACAGAATGCAAATTTAATTTTAAAATCTATTTTTTTGTCAATTTAGCCAATAAATGTTTTAACAGTCAGCCTATGAAAATACTACAGCTAGGAGCTAGCACACCAACACTACATATACATCACCTCTGCAACTCTCAAGTCTGCTGATGAGACTATGAAAAAATATGACTTCCATGGTTTTTGTACTGAGATGGTATTGCACCCATAATAACAACAAAAACCCTTTCACAGCACTGCGTAAGTTTGTATTAGGCAATTGCTATTTAGATTAGCGACCCAAACTATCAAATGAAATGTTAAAAAAGCTGAGATTCCTTAGCTTTCGGTTTAGTACCATACACATTTGGGGGCTGGGGGCGTGGGCAATTCTCACACAGTAAAATGTATTATTTGATTTATTGCCACTCAAATCTACCATTAAATTCTTTTTGAAGCCATTACTTAAAGGGACTATGTATATACTGGTATTATATTTAACCTGAGTCAAATGTTAACGCTTTTCTGTGACTGAAAGCAAATCAGTACAAAGAATATTCATAAGAAGTCTGTTCTGTGAAAAAAAGTCATGAAATATTCCGAAGAGCCTATTTCATTTTAAAGACTAACTTGACAATGTATGGCCTGATCACCACAGACGTTTAACACTAATGCCTCAAACGTATTATAATATGCATTGTAGGGCATGTACTGTATCTTTACATTCAGTCCTGGGAATCCTGAATTTGACAAATGTTCAAGGATACTGCTAAAGATGCAGGCAAGATATCTGGAGAAATATGTCCCACAAAAATCATTAAATTCCTTTAGATATGATATAGAACTCTTTTCATGAAAAAAATTCTGGGAAAAAAAAAATCATAAATGCAATGAGGTGAACGAGATTGGACAGCTTTATCTGCATAAAAACTAGGGATATTTTGAAGTGCACTTCATTGTGCAAGCCTACACGATCAAAATCATATTCTTCTGAGCAAAACCGCCTTCTATTTTTGATAGTTTTCTACTGATTGCTCCAAGTTTAGTAGAATTTTAAACATTTTGAAACTGCAAATCCCCAGAAAAGCAATTCAGTGGGAACTCCTAATTAGTCTGTGGTAAGCGCAGAGGTACAGCCAAAAAACCTGCCTCCGTGTGCAATATTAAAGAAGTGGAAATTGTAGGCTGACACCAGGCACAGACATAGAGACAGGACGGATAAGATAGATGAGATTAAACAGTCATAAAAAACAATACTGAATAATCTGATGCCAGTTTTCAAGTTATTATTTAACAGGCACAGATGTCAGAGTCACATTTTACTTTGCTTTTCATGTACATTATGAAATATCTCGCACTTTTGCATTAGTACACATTAGGCAAAATACTGTCCCTAATATATTAGATAAAATGCAGTTTAGGGGGAGCTTCCCCCTCCTCAATCTGTTGACTGCTCTTTTAATCATAAAATGGTCAGACATGAGATCCAATCAACACTAAGGCTGTGCTAGCAAGTGACAAATCATTTCACTTCAGAAAAGTATTAGTCTTAGTGGCGCTGTGCTTGTGTGCTGTGATTTACTGAGAACAAAATAACCTCACAATGCTCAATTTAAAATTGGACACCAGTTTTGAATAATGGCACTCATTTACTGATGTGATAAAGCAATTGACTACTGAGGATTCATTTATAACAGAGGGAACAGCTGTACTATCAGAGATCAGACTGATGAATATAATATTGAAATATTTTTACCACAGTAAAATGCCTACACATTATTCTTTTGGGGAAAGGCACCTGGAGCCATTAAAGCATTGCCAAGATCAGGTGACCTTAAATTAGGTCATCTGCCTTTCACACCATTACTTTGGTGAAAACAGAGACAGGCTCTAGAACAAGACCAAGTAATAAAGCATCAACACATATTTCCCTTCTTCGCCACTTCTTCACCTCACCTGCTCTTCTGCAAAAGACATCCGCAGTATCTATCACACAGCTGTAAAGCACAGCATGCTCAGGTATTGGTGCTTTGGTCTAACTTACCTTCTAAGGGACACTGACCCACATGTCATGATCATTTTATATTTTGGTCAATTCAGCCCTGGACAGACCAAAAATCTGGAGGCAGTCTGGGTAGTTCACTAACCAAACTAATCTGATAGATATTCTGCCTGAATCTAATATTAGAGTTTTTTGGTTTTAATATCATTAAGTCATTTTATTACATAATCAGTTAACCCTCATATTCTAAATTTCTTTCATAATTGACATCTACTAAGAATAAACAAAATGAATATAGAAAAAAAGTGAGTTTTACCTGCATTTTGTAGAAATCTATACCAGTCAAATGTTTCATTGGGTGTAGTCTTAATTCCTGTGTTGAAAAAAAAGAGAAACACAATATATTTGATTGCTCCCTGGATGGCTGCACTACAGTTCTTGAAGTCTTGCCCTAAGAAAACAGTATTTCTGTCAAGCACACTGAATTCCATACACAGCTGTTCTCATCTCAAGCTTTTGCCATCCCAACAATGTCAGCTTTTCTGCACAAACCTTCCATAGATCATCAGATTGAAGTTCAATTAAAAATTTTGCACAATCACACAGTGTATGAACATCTATAGCAACCCAGGGAAATAAACACACTTACACCATGCCAAATTTGGCCTTTAAAAATCTACATATGAGTTAATATTGCCTGAGGGAGCATATTATTCCAAAATAGATACAAGTCAACTGAAACCCAAGTTCTTACAATAAAGGAAAGAAAGTAAATTAAATTTGTATAAAAACTAAATATTAATTTAAACTGGATATCAATTAATATGTTTTGCCTTAAATTAAATATTAATTATTTTACTAATGAAATGATTTTATTTAATCTCATTAACTATTACCTCACAAGGGACTTAAATATAGACAAAATATGGGCTCAACAGACCTCAGAATAAGTTATTTCAACATAACAATTTTGAAAATAATTTTACTTTCTTTGAAAGTGAAATATACAAAATGGAAGTTTTGAAATCTGTATACAGTTATTTTTAGATAAATAAAATCAGGAGCTGTAGCTTAAGAAATCAGATCTAAAATGCTGAGTTGAGTGTTCCCTAGACTACTCAAGTAATAATACTTTGGATTAGACACTTGTTGGGTGTCATTATCCGGGGAACTCAACTTAAAGCATTTAAAGGAATTTGGAGTTTCAGAGAATAATCATTCAGCATCAAAACTTCCATATGCTTTGGAGAAAGCTCAGTGTTACCTTACCTTTCAGATTCCTACTGTAAGCCATGTAGGAAAACTTTTTTTTAAAGCACCAATTGAGTTGAAAATTTAGGCTAAGAGACTGAAATACTGCCTCAATTAACGTCAATGGAAAAAAGCTGAACTTCAGTGGAACCAGGACTTCAAACCTCATACCCATTTCAGCAAAATAATTCTGGGGCAAAGAAGCCAGATACATAAACATACAGATACTAAAAACATGATTCAAATAAATGCAATGCCTTAGTCAGTATTTCAAAACTCTCACCTTGAGTTTGGACATATATTTTCTTCCTAGCATCCGGCTTTAAAGAGAAGGAGAAGAAAAGTAACTTTCATAGTTGACCATAAAACTTCTGTTTAATCTTCAAATAAACCCCAACTAGTATAACAAAATGCATATCAGTGTGATTTTCTTTTGACTATTAAAAATCAAATAGAGTATTAGAAAGATACATTTCAATAACACCAAAAGCAAACCATCAGCAAAGTAAATTACATTTACAATGAAAATTTACAGTATTAATTAGTCAATTTTGCAATTAACACAACTACCAAGTTAGTACAAACATATTTTTTAGATTATCTCTGTATCCTTTCTTATAATGATCAACCTGCCTATTGCATAGAAAATTAAAATATTTCCCTAGAATAGAAAGATTTTCAAATACAGAACAACCCTAGTTCCCCAAAAATGTTAGTCTTGAAAGAAAAATTAAAGTTGGTTTCAAAACCAGTCTACATTTATCCACAATGGAATTTTTAAAGACATCAGTCATGAAACAAAAGTAATTTATCTCTAACATTTTTAAAAATTGCTGTCAAATATATGTAGAGTTGTCTGTACAGGAAAACTGGCCAGTAGTAGTTACTGCAGAATGTTCTCCAATAAAAACTGCATAAGAAATTATTTTAAAGTAGCTATAGCAAAAGAGGTAATTGCCACACTTCCAAAGTTACTCCTGAAGTGCTACTATGCTAGTTCTTTAATTCAGTTGATTAAATAAGCAAGTTCCTGTTTCAATATCTTTCTATAACTCCAACCACGAATTTGTGGAATACATTTTTTTCATGAAAGCATCAAAATATTCTTAGGATCTTTTCACACTGGAAAAAAACAAAACAAAACAAAAGCACACAAAAAACAAAACAAAACAAAAAAAAAAAAAAAAAAAACAAAAAAACAAAAACACTACCCAGCAAACAAGCAGAAGTTTTTGAGCTGAAAGTATTTGCACAAAGCTTCGTGTTCAGACAGTTCCTGGTTGATCTAAAAGCACTGGCAGCAATACCTGTTAAGGAGTAAGCTAAGGAAGGTATTAGTCAACTGGTGTAATCTCTAAACAATTTGCTCAAAATAACCTTGAGTGTTTCAGTTTGAAATTATATTCTTTCAAGAATTTCAACTAATACTATTGCTTAATTTAGCATCATAGCATCCAGAAACGAACAACCTTCTTTACAGCACCATCTTTGCTATCTTGAGACTAAATCCTGCCTCCTCCTCAGTGCCAATATCATTATGTAGAGAGGCACAGTCCTAGCAAGCTGCGACTCTCTGAGTCACTATTTGCCTGCCCTGGCTCTTTCTACTATGTTGCCCCTCCAACCATTTCACCTTTAAATGGTGGAATACACTGCTGAACTCTTCAAGCTAAATATTGCTACGCAGACTTGCATCTGTGGAAAGTTGTTGGAATAACGTAGCCAGAGTTAACCAAGGCAGAGCATCACATATACCAGCGCACCACGTCAAGCTGCACACCAGTCTTCCCTTCACTTCTCCCATCCCATTCTTAGCAAATTGTGAGATCACGCTTGCAGGATAATGACTTGAAGGCAGGAAGAGAACTTGTGAAATAAGAAGCCAAGGAAAGTTTTTTTTTTTTTTACTTGCAAACATTTTGATTTTCCTTTACTCCTATGTGACTGCCCCTCCAGTCCACTGCTCAGTCATAAGTCTATTTTAGTTATTAAAAATGAACTGGAAAAAGAAATGAACAGAAACTAGGTTATTAAAATAAGTGAATAGTCATCAACAAGCAGTTCACAGACGGAAATGAGCTTGTTTCTGAGAATCAGAGTGAATTAGCTAAGTCACAAAAACTACATGAACAAGCAGCAAATCCACACATAAATATAGTGGGGGAAAAAATAACATTATTTATGCTACAGTGGAAAACTAAGGATATTCTATGGACTTTATCTTTCAAAAGCTATATGAACGTTTGTGTTCAAAGCATATAAAATTTTAAAAAATGGTTCCATAGGTTATTTTATTACTTAACATTTCTTTCTACTTCTCTTGCCTATGAATAAGTAGCATTTTAAATTGTATTGGATCTTCCAGTACTAAAAAAAATTCTTGCAAACAGCAGAGACAGCATTGCAAGCTGGAGGCCAACTGCAGAATTTAAATTTGCAGGACAAGTGGTATAGCTGAAATTCTGTGCTAGGACATAGATGAAGCAAAACAGAAGGTGGAAAAAAGCAGATGGGGCAGCGGGCAGCTTAAGCCAGTTGTGCCTCCATAGCTGACACACTGCATAGTTCTGCCGCAGACTCTGGTGGGTGAAGATATGCTTTTAGTTTCCTAAAACCACTAAGTTTCAAAAATAAGCTTAAGTTAAGCATCTGGTTTCATGCTCTCATGGACCTTTAATGGTGAGTAAATATAATCCTGACAGGGCTTGGATCATCAAGAAGAAAATAGAAGGAATACTGTGTAACAGGGCATATAGATATAGTCACCCTTTATAGATCAATTTTCTGTTATGTTCTTTATTTTAAATGGTCTTGAGGAAAATGGAAAAATGAAATTGAATGCTAATAAAACTGGCTTGGGTAATTCTTATGCACCAGTCCTACACTACTGAAATAAAACACTGACCGTAAGCACAAGATCTTTTATAGTATTTCAGCCTCAACTGGAATACAGATTATTACAAAAGCTGTATTATGTACTTCATAATTAAAAATAATTTATCCAATGTAATAGAAAAGAATTTGTTGGAGGATACAGCCCTTGAGCACAGTGCAATTGCTTACATGTTCATAATTTAAAATCTTAATTGATTGTCTAAATAGTAAAGCGCACATTAGAGGAATAATGCAATTCACGTTAGTATGAGTTAATATGTAAAAAGTGTTAATATTCTGTGATTTAGGTATGCGGAGATATATTCATATTCTTCACTGTTTGAAAGTAAATGTGTCACATCTGCTATTACCCCTTATATGAAGATACAGTGGGAAAAAGAACTGAAACCCCCAGCATTTAAGACACAGGCCAACAAGTTCTATTTCAGTTTGCGACTTGACAGACTTGCCTCCAATTCCCTGTCTGCCATAAAACTTCTCCAAAACACTGAGTGAGTCTCATAGGCCTGGAGCACAAAGGTGGTTAGGTAAAATCATTCAAAGTACTTAAAAACATTTGAGGTACTAATCTCAAAAGGATTTCAAAGTTCAAGTCTGTTTCTCCTTACGCTCTGTTACTTTTGTCTTTTTCTTGCATAAGATCTATGACAGGAGCTGTGTCCTTTCATGTTTACCCATCATGAAGTTCATTCATAGAATCACAGAATGGTTTGGGTTGGAAGGGACCTTAAAGATCTCCTATTCCCAACTCCCCTGCCCTGGGGAGGGCCCCCTTCCCCCAGCCCAGGGTGCTCCCAGCCCCGTCCAACCTGGCCTTGAACCCTTCCAGGGAGGGGGCAGCCACAGCTGCTCTGGGCACCCTGGGCCAGCGCCTCACCCCCCGCACAGGGAAGAATTTCTTCCTTATGTCTAACCTAAATCTCCCCTCTTTCAGTTTAAAACTGTTACTCCTTGTCCTATCCCCACACCCCCTGATCCAGAGTCCCTCCCCACCTTTCCTGTCCCCCCTTTAAGCCCTGGGAGGCCGCTCGAAGGTCTCCCCGGAGCCTTCTCTTCTCCAGGCTGAACCCCCCCAACTCTCTCAGCCTGGCCTCACAGGGGAGCTGCTCCAGCCCCCTGAACATATTCATGGCCTCCTCTGGACTCGCTCCAACAGGTCTATGTCTATTGTAGTAACTATTAAAAGCAAGTTATATTTGTAATGTAAATACCAGCTCCTATGCCTGCTTATGTATTCTTTTAATGCAAATAGATTAAAAAAAAAAAACCAAACAATTCATACCGAAACAAAGTACTGAATATTAAATTGTTCTGTTGTGCAAGGTCTACCTCTATGTGTTTTTTTTAAGCAAGGGTATATTAATACTCATATTATGATGCAAATTATAATTGAAGAAATACCACGAAGTTAGCTACCCAAAAGCATTCCTCGTGCTCAAAGGACTGGCAGCTCTTAATATTGTCTTACTGCACTCTTCAGAAAACCAGGATTGAGGACTGTCTACTTTGAGGATTTGTCTCAATTTTCTCCATTGGCAGTCTGCCATCAACTCAACCACATAAAGGTGTAAATGTTGACGCAGTCTATTTTCAAACTGAAGCATATTAGATACTAAAAAGAATTGCACTGCATGTCTGAAGTAGATTTGCAACACAGCAAATGCAATGGCACCAACTAAACTAAGAAAAAGAGAACAAACCATTATTACTGCCAGTTCTTTGCTGGATAAATACTGTCCTTAAAATACACTGTCAAATGTAATTAACCACTATACTGTTTGATGAAAATAATTTTATTCAGTATTTTTCCATATATAATTCAGCACAGTGTGTTTCGGTTTATTTTCAGAAGGAGATATGAGTTTTAAGTAAGTTAAGTGCTATTTATGCGGCAAAGATCGCCCAAGGCCTGGTCAACAGGGCTATATATAACATATTGCTGGGCTTAGCTTAACTACAATTTTAGCTCTGCAGTTGACCTTAAGAAATGAATTCTATTTCCAGTGTTGACAAAACAAGCACTTTCAAATTATTATTCCAGAATCTTTATTGTAAGTAAAGCTGTTTAGTGGAACTCTGGCAACATAAAGTTTATTAAATGATGCAAAAAGAAACAATATATGCATATGACATCAAGAAAGACTTGATAACAACTGTAATGATTAGTTTTAAATGTTACAGAGAAGTACTTCCTAAACTGCTGTATAATCTTTTCAAATACTAAACAGCTTTTAAATGCCAGATCTATTTGACCTGTTGATGTACACAGATGTGAAATGCTTTCTCTGAAAGAAAAAATAGGAATAGAGAATATGAAGATTATTATGATTCTTTAGCATTATTCAGAAAACATTTTAGGAGAATGCATAATTGATAATACCATAAAGCATCACCATCATCATGTAAACATACCCACTCTGCTGCTGCCAGTTCCTTCATTTCCATCGTGAAAGCTACTGCAAACCTAGTTAGATGGACAAAAATAGTTGGGATCATCTGCTTAAAGTGATTAAATATAAAACCAGAAAAGTACTTCAGAAAAAAATATAAGAACAAACAGCAGAGGCTTATAAAAATTATTATAAATGGAAAGACAGAAAGCAGGCTTTCTATTTGTTTTACCAAAAAGTACTGGTAAAACAAATGGTATGTCTTCAGGCTTTACAACTTAGAGCTCTTGGGGAGTTAAAGTGAGGATTTCTTAAAGTAAGAGAAAACCCAACTAATGGGAACATGCCCCAGTTTATCTAGATTAATATATACAGCTGCAGTAGTGAGTTAGTATTTCCTGCTTCTACCACATTGCAAGTTGCAATAGTCCTCTTCACAACCAGAGGGCTAGGTAAGAAGGGATCTTAAGTCCAGTTAGTTTCATACAGTTGTTATCTGACAATACGCAGTCCCACTATTTGCAACCCCTTGCAACTGAGTTTAATTCAAATGAGCAGATGGATTTTCTTAAACCTTTCCCCCATACTGTCTCCTTATTTCTAAGTAGTCAAAGACATCAATAAGAAACAAACATCTGAAAGACCAAAACGTCTTCAGGAAAAATGTCAGAATTAAATAAACTAAAAAATAAGAAAGATAATCCAGTGTCTGGGCTTCAGCTCTGGAATCTCACAGACTTGGGACACTCAGCTCTGTAGCTCTGAACGTTAGGCATCTGCAGTGGAGATGGAATTGCAGTGCTGAGTTAGACACCTGCTATTCCTTTACAATAGGGAAGAATTGGGTGCCCAGAAGTTTACCAGAGATACCATAGTCAGCACTTCAGGCAAAGAGCCCATCACGCTAGCCAGGCATAATACGGCCAGAAGGGCATTCTGACTGTTCTCTGGTTTAGACTTTTCTTTGTTATGATAAGCATAATTAAATGAATGAACTGTAGAACAGTATACAAACAACATCTACTCCTCCCCTCCTCTGTAATGTATATAAATCCTAATGTCAAAGTAGGAAGCAGCAGACAAAAGTGTACTTGAATAACTTAATGGCTACGGTTTTCACCTGGGAGGGAGAAAAGAATTCTGCTCCCAAGCTGACTTCCACTTTTTCCCTTATGGCTGTTTATAATGACTCATCTGGACTTCTACTTAGGTGCCTTTGAGAAATGTAGGTAGTACACTATGATTCCACAGAAGAGTTATGTCAGAGACCATTTAAAAGCAGCATTGATATGAACAGTTTTCATTTTTGAGTGTCTCACTACAGAGAGACTTCAGCCACGTAAGTCTGATTTCTAAATGTACCAGACAAACAAGTTATTCCTATTGGGAGTTTGGTGTAATACCAAGAAGTCATATGAGATTATTTTTATGGAGTCAGAGTTAATAAAGAATCCCTGTTCACAAGAGATCTTAAGAACATGCTGGGTTTTAATGTAGCTTTTAAGTTGTGATGAAATATAAACACATGCTTTGACTGTTCTTAAATGGAACTTTAGTGTTAACTGGAACCACAAATGGGACCATTTCTGTAGACTATCAGTCCTGTGGAATACAAATGTTTGAATGCCTCCTTTATATGAGATGTAATGTGTCTGTTCAGCAAAACTCCTTTTTTTTAAATTTCTTTTATAGATACTGAATATAAAACAGGAATTATCACATATTACACTTATGATTTGGTGTTTCTTTTCCATAGAACTGATGTAATGTTTCTGTCCTGAGCCAACCCTATGACATCTCAATGGTTAGAAATGAAGCACATTGCTAAATCACAACCAGAACAGTGCTTTTTCATTGGAGATGTTACGTTATAATTTGAGGACATGAAATCACAATCATTCATTAGAAGTCATCAATGCTGAATTACTTTTGTTTGTTGAAAAAAAAACCTTACTCCCATGCATTTGTTTCCTAGTACCTGCTTTATGGTACTACAATGAATTTCACATATACACATATACAACTTGACAGCTTTAAGGTTATTAAAGCCTTTGAAAATGCTTGTTTTGTCAAGTTGCACATGGTCCCTTTCCAGTTTTTGCAATTATACTTTCAATCCAACACATTAACAAGCAGAAAAAACTGTTGCTCCTAAGTCTACAAAATACTGTTCAATATAAAAAAATACCCTAGAGTAGTACAACTACCGTTTAGAGGAATTTGATTAAAAATGAAACACTCATTATAAAGCTAGACAGTGTTCAATACTTTGTTTTATGGAATATGGCGGTATATTGTACTGGACAAGTAATCTACAACTCATGATACTTTCTGCTTAGAACCCTACAATCAATAAAGAAAAAAAAAATCAATGTTTGCTTTAATAACTATGCAATGAATAATACTAGCGATAATACTGGAGAAGAGATCCATTCAGAATAACTTCTAGAAAAATGAATTACTTTTCCTGTAGCTAAGTAAATATCATGACCTGCATAAGGGTGCAGTAATATATTTTGAGACATCATAGGAAATCCAAGCTGATAAAGTATAATTCAAGTTCCTAAGCTAATTATCATTAAAAAAACCCATTCAGTAAAGCACAGTTTTTGCATGAGCTACATTATCTGTATTTGTGACATATTTTAAACACAGAACTGAATCAAATGGACACACTCAGTGATTCTGTTTTTATATACTTTTCATTTTGTGCAGTGCTGAAATTTAGCTGACACACCATATATCTTTTTTTCTCTTCCTTCAGATCTGTTTTAAAGAATTCTGATTATTTGGTATCAAAAGTAAACAAGTATATAAATTTTGTCTTGAATGGGGCCTTAAGTTGCTTTTCAACTACAAGCCACACTAGGATGTAAAGAACATGCCCTAATGATTTTTCAATGAGCATGATTAAGTGCTGTCTTTAAAATTTGTTTACCTACCACATTTTATGGGCACTATAGACAGAACAGCATATCTATGCCAGCGTTAAGCTAGCTAATAATAGCTAGAACATGTAGTGGTATTAGCAAAGATAAAACTAAAAGATACAAGCCTGCTGCAGATTCTGTATGCATTTCCTCATTGCTAACATGAACCAAAATCCATAGTGCCATATCTGAACTACTGTAGTTATCTGTCTTAGCTAGAATGCTGTGATGAATGAACAGAGATAGCATCCTGAGAAAGCTCATTCAGCAAGGTATTTAAGCTCTCCTAGAGGAAGTATGCAAGCAGTACCACTGAATTTGATAAGACATACCAGATGCTTAAATTTTATCTCACTTTGTACACTCGGAGACTCCTTCACTTATGCAAAGCTCAATCCTGGAGTGATGACTCTCCAGACCACTCAAGTCACACCATAATTCCATGAGGCTGAGTGACCTGCTGTAGCAACTTACTGACACCAAAAAGACATCCTTCTCATATCCTTCCACAAAGTGATTCTTCTTTCTGTGCTACAGTCCACAGTTATACTAACCATCAAAGGCTGTCTTTATAATGTCTACCCATAAAGCAGATTATTTGACAGAGCAATATACTGCCAAATACCAGGTTAGGTATTCTTGCTATCATTCTTCTCATTTCTTTTACCTGCCTTAGAATTTTATATCCTCGTCACATGTATAGTTCTATTATTCTAGAAAATAGTTATGATTCAGTAGACCAAGCACACGATTAGTTAGCAAGAGCAAAGATTTCTCTAGCTTTTAGTGTGATTTGAGTCTTTGAAATTCATAGCCCAAGAAACCAAGTTTCAGCACTACTTCTGCCAACTCCTACATGGACAAATACGATGAAAGAATTGTAATGGAGGAAATATAAAATGAATAGACTGCATATAGCCTATACGTTATGAAGAAACTGTTCTACCTCCATCACTGAATCATAAAATAAGATACAGAGATCACAGGGATTTCAAGTAGTCTCCTTTGTCCACTGGCCTACACATCTCCCAGTGATTGCAAGCATTTACGGGACAGTTCCTAAAAGATCTGCCATTACAAACATGCAATTTCCTGTCATAAACTTTCCACGCGTGTTTTTACCTGGCTTCTCTTAACACTGCTCCCATTATCCGATGTTTCTCTTCACATTTGATATCTTCATTTACATCTGTCCCCCCAAAGATGATTCCAAAAGGAATTCTGCTATCTGTGAAGCAATGACTATGATGAGAAGTTGACCAACGTGTCAAGGTAATGACTAGAAGCAGACACCAAGAGTGAAAAAGTTTATTGATAATACTATATCACATATGTAAGCAAAAGCCATTGAAAAAGAAACCTGGAGAAACTTGAATTTTTATGGTTTTGGCACTGAAAAACCCCATACAATAACTATGCACTTTCACAGTATGTCAGTACTGTAGCTGTAAGATTTTCTTTGCCTTTTCCATGCTTAGTAAAAACAATCAATTAGTTTCTACTCTTGGCAGCCCACCAAACAGCATATATCTTTTAAATGTTATTCACATTTTGATAAGATGTAATATTGCAAAGTTTGGTCCCATGTATCTAGTCTCCACCACTTATTCACTGCCCCCTCAAGCATTTCAGTGCAGTGGTTTGGGTGACCAGCCTGTAAAGTTGGTTACTGAATTTTTTTTTTTAAAATATTGACTACTGATGCTGATTTTACTGCTACAGAAAATGTAGAAGGAGCCACACCATTGGAAAAGGTCACCAAATTAAATAAGGCAGTATATGTAATCCTGCAACAAAACCATTGTTTTGCTTAATCTCATACCAAAAGATGGATCTGTGTTTATAACTCGTTGTTCCAAGACCTTCTGCGATGGCCCAAGTTATGAAAGTTGTTTTAGGATGCCTTACAGTGCTCAGAACCATAAGAACAGAGGAAGGCGTGTGGTCTGTGGGATAGTCTGTGCACAAGACCTTATCAACATCCAAATTTTAGAGTATCAACAAAATCATATATATCCTAGTGGTGTCTGCACTCTTGTAAAAGACTAGTTTTGATACACAGCATCAGAATAAATTCATACTTGCATAAAGGTAAAGCCACCAAAACAGGGTAGCATAGCATTTCTGTGCTAACAGTGGCCAGACTCACATGGACAAGGCCAAAGACTACTTAGATGAAAATACAAAAGCCAACAGTAGTGCAAGACTCTATTCTAACAGTATTTCTTTACTTGGAGTCAGGTTATTTTTAGTAACTGACAAGTTACCAGTAATGTTCTCTTCTTAAACTAATCAAGACAGCAGACAATAATGTTTACTGTTGATTGTTTCAGCACTGAAACCGAGGAAGTAGCCAGTTTTACACCACATTAAGCTATCAAATATCAACCTCATGGTAGCTAATTACTACATGGAGAACATACTTTTAAATTCCAAATGGGACTGTAGTTTTGCAAAATAAACAGTCTCCAGTAAATCTACAAAACCTGTCATTAAGGTGACCAATTTTGTGGATTTTGCAGATTTCTGTTAGCTGTAACAGATGAAGCCAAGGTTTCCTTCTGACTGTGAACAAGAATATTGCCACAACACACTGTGTATCAAGGAAGGTGGAAAATATGCTTTGTTTTTTCCTTTTTGCTACTGGATGTAAGGGGAGAGGGATCAAGGACTCACTAGTCAACACTGACCTCAGAACTGGACCAATGAACAGGGCACTAGAGGTTATTGTGTTGGTGGAGGTTCTTCCTTTTGAGAAATAATATAACTGACCTTGAATGCTCACGGCTATGAAAACTACTGGTGACACTTTCCATAGCTACCCACAGTGCCTTAGATGGTGGGAGGAAATGATGGGTTAAATTCAGTGAACTCTCATAATTAAAATTCATGGTTAAAAACAAGCAAATAAGAAAATCTTTAAAGCAAATGGGGAATGAAACAAGTATGTTGATAAAGACAGAAAATATATGTTTCACATTTATATTTGAAAATTAAGTGAGTTGTAAGATGAGGATTTATTAGCATTGCTAATTTCCTCATTACTAAATGAAAGAACAAACAAAAAGCATGCCAGACATAATAATTCAGGCTTTCTGAAAACCCATTAGCACAAATTGTGGGGAGGACTTCTGAAGTCTGAAAACTAGCACAACACAACTTATACTGAGATCTGATGAAAGTATCAAATTATGTGCCTTTGTCCAAGTGAATAGATTTGTACAATATACAGGTGATCTCAAAAATGGATACACACTTGCAATTTCAGGAGGCGACAGTGTCTGCAATTTTGAAAGCCAATGCTCCTAGTGTATCATTAATGGCAGGCTAAAATTTTGTTCTACATGGCCAGATACAATAGAAAATATTATTATTTGTCTGATAACATCCTGCCTCCTACAGTTTAGCCAGCATGAACAACATCTCAAAGTTATTCCATGTCCAAAAAACCTTGACTCATTTTTTGAGCAAGAAAAATCAAATTAGCCTCTCTGCTTCCTTCTGTTTGACCTCAACTATACTTAGCCAAGCCATTGTCCTCTGAAAGAACACATTTGCTGAAAGTATCTTAATGTTAATATAATGCTCTTATCTTAATGTAGTTAAAGTACTTAATTATGAAATGTACTATGTGCTTTAGTAGTACATTTATTTAGTTCTCTCCTCTCTCGATCAGATCTCCCACAGAGAAAGACTTTCAGCATTTCTGAACATTTGTTGAAGTGGATAAACAGAATAACTACATTATGTGTGCGTTTATACATTTATAGCCATTTATAACTGTTTGTATTCATTCTCTTTCCTTTCAGTATCTTTTTAAGATGTATTTTTATTACAAAATATAAAGAGGATTACCTTGCAGAAGTCTGCCTCCTTTATAAAGATGAATGGCCAGGGCTGCATCAAACTTGTCTGTGATGGTTAGATTTGCTATTTCTGTTGGACTTTCATACATGAAAGCATCTTTAAGAACACAGACATGACCTGCAGCACATAGATGATTCCTACATTATTGGAACAAATAGAAATAGAAAAGAAAAAGATACTGTTAATGTTGCAGTCATGCCACTATACTAAATAAGTTTAATCAAAATGTTTTTCCTTAATTTTTGCTCTGACATTCACCTTTATGCTAATTTTGTTCAAGCAACCATGGGTTTTTTCCCCCCTGGAAAATATCTGTTACCTCACCATTGTGAAGCCATAGGTATGCTCCCAAGCAACATAATCTACAACCATTTTAAGCCCCAAGCCTACAAAGCATCAACCACTACCTTTGGAAATCAGAAGCAAAGTATGATCAAGATCTTTCCTGACCGAGCTTCGGTTTAATATGCTGAAAAGACTCCTTTTGAATTGAGTGTGTTACACCTTGGTTTTAGAGATTCTCAGATCCTTGTTCTGAAGAAAGGCCACTGAGAGAAGAAACTGCAAATATGTCTAGGTAATCAATGCTATTAAATATACAGAATATGTCAAAAATTAATACATAAATAACACTGGAGAATGAAAATTGTATTCCCTTCCTGTTTGATTGTGGGTTTAAATGCTTATTGTCTTAGTTTATCCATTTGTAAAACAGGCACAGGGTAATTGCAGTATAAGAAACTACACAGAAGTAATTACAAATACTTTCACAGTCTTTTTAAAAATCTCAATTGCAAAAAAGAAAAAAACAAAAACAAAAAACACAACAACCCTCCCTTACTCTGGTGTCAGTTTACTCATTCACCTTTCCATACAGTGGTTCCTCTTATTAAAACATCGATTCAAAGCCTGCCAAAGTCAAGAAACTGATTGATTACAAGGAGTTTTACTTTAGGCATTTTGATGAGCTTTGTTTTACTCTTTTCTTTTATACTCTAGGCTCATAATTTCTCCCACTGAGACCAGAATCAGTTATCAATGTTTCCAATGCCATCAGCCAAAAAGACATACAGGAGAAAATTCATGTTTTGATAGAAACTAGCACACTGTATCTGCTGACATGTAGTGTTTACATTTTCAATATTACAAAAAGACCACAAGAATGTGTTCTGCTTATTGCATATTGTTCCAGCTGATTTATTTCTCATAGTGTATTAATTGTTCTGGCATTAAAATCCTGCTAACTCAATAGCTTCTTGGATAATGTCAGCTCTTTCCTTTCCTGATCATTTCATATCCTCACAAGGAATGTAATTTTCTGTCCTGCAGAAGTTACTCATTACTGAAGAAATTGGTGCTAAAAATGTTGTAAAATGTCTTGAGGCCTTGGAAGGAATGTATTAGCACTATATCAGACAGAGCTCCACTGGCACAACATATGGTGCTGTATTTCTTCCTCATTCTAAAAATAAACTAATTTTACTTTTAACTTCACTGTTCGAAGCAAACCCAATAACTTATAAGTATTAATATATAATAAAATACAACCAGATTGTAAGCTCCTTATTTACACTGTTAAGCAATTATTTACATCAGTTGTCCCATGAACTTGTACCAAGTACCTGCTTGCCTTTTGAAAGAGGCTCTCAATTTATATCTAAATAATGATGCCCAAATCTAACAGCTGTGGAAAGAAAATCTCTCAGGCAAATACTCGGGATGCTCATGCATGCATTCCATAATTTCACAGGTGCTCATTAAATAGTCTAAAAGAATTTTTTCCCATCAGTATTCCAATTACCATAAATCACTATCATGTACAAGCTGTATGTTTGCATGTTACAATTAATTTGAAAATAACTCTCTCAGGACATCAGGAATCAAGAAATATGAATATTGACCTAAAGTGTCCTTGTTTCCTTGTTTTTTTTTGTTTGTGTTTTTTTTTTTTTTAATATACTAGGAATTAATACTTTTCCTTTCCTCCACAGTTTCCACAGCTCCAAATCTCACAGGTGAATGACAGCTGTTTCTGCAGTAAATAGAGGGGGACTCCCTCAAGTGTTCCAAGGTTCAGAAATGGTGGATTACCTCTATTACTTCAATTTTTTTTCTACACAGAATGACTCAGGAACATGTAAAAAATTTGCATACAGCCTAAGAAGGAAAAATTACCAAATTATTCCCAGAATAATTCAAATTCCCAGGTGTAAATAGGCCTTAATCCCATAAACATCCCATTGAGTTCAATATGATTAGTCACAGACTTCAGATTATGCATAAATGGAAATATATCTGTGTAGAAGCAGAGTTATTGGGTAGTATTTAATTACTGGAATTTACAGTGGTATTTTGATATTTTCTACATTACTTTCATCTTTATAACAAAAAAAAAAAAAAAAGCAGACTGATTTTCACACATATGCTGTTATCGAGGAACATGATAAGAGGGTGCTGCAAAGCAATTGCAGGAGATTTTTTTTGAAGGCTGATTTGTCTGTGAAGTCACAGATGCCCCTGAATCAAGCCAAGACAGAAAAGATACATTACCCATATCTTTTCACCTCCTGGCAACTGTGTATTCACATTATTTTGCCATTTCATAAACAAATACTTTTTGAATGAAAAATAAAAATGAACACATCTCCTGCTGCGTGTGAATCTAACTCAGCCCCGAAAATGCTAAATCTCAAGGCTACGTTTTCTATCACAGTTTTGTGTATGGTAGATAAATTTCCAAATAAGTGTCTTGAGAACCAGCGATTACTGCTTGGATCCAGAATTTGACTTGCTCTGCCATTTCCTTCCCTTCTACCAAAACTCTCATGGAAGCCAATGCCACTAACTGGGGAGAATAATATTTCTAAAATGGAGTTTGGCTGTCAGATTCCAGATTTTGGGTGTTTTGCTAGGAAGTAACCAAACAGGGAAAACATCAGTCATTCAGTAAATTTGCAAGATTATTTCTCAGAGTACATTATATTAGTCACTGCTTACACTGTGATATTTATACACATCTGAACATTGGACAAAATATTTCCCAGCCCCATTAATTTTAGTATTGAGGGAATTAATCTTTTTTGTTATATTTTTTACACTCTTTGGAAATCATCATGTTTACAAGTGAAACTTCTAAGTGTCTGCTCTGGATCTATACGGTATGCAGAGAGAGATTGCTAAAATGTACAACCCTTTTCTGACATGCTTACACTTTATTAATGATTTCTATAGAAGAGCATTTTTCTCTAACACAACTATGAAATACCAGGTGATGTTTTACAATGTTTCATTTTTTATTTCCTACATTATTGATCACTACTTCTCACTTACCCTGCCTAGCAGTGTTCCCTCCTTCAACCTGAATCTGCAGTTCACAGGTCTTCATACACAGAAACAGTTTTATAGTTCCAAACACAGCATGGCTGAGGCTAAGAAACAAGATAATTAAAAGTATGCTTACTTCTAAAAGTATGCGAGTTTTGAAACTCACTCTACTTTTCTGTGATGTCTTCCTCTCAAAAACATTTATGTTCTAATTTTCATTGGATATTTCAATGGAATTACTTGCAGATAAAGAATTTCCAAAAAGTTCCTGGTGGGTAGATACACTGGCACTTCTTGAATGGCACAAAATAGGTTTCATCCAAAAATATTAATTATCTCTTTCCCTAGGCTGTCTATTCTGTAAAGCAGCTGTACATCAACTACTGTTACATCTATACAGAACAATTCAAAGCTTATTAAGTGAGCAGAGTCACTTCTACTGCCTTTTCTGAAACTCGGCCAGAGCTCAATACGCGCAATTCCCACTGAGGTTGATTGAATTACAAGAGTTGAAACCCTTCTTGATCTTCTCTGTTTTCTCTGTAAATTATCTTAATTTTTTTTCATACTTGTTAAAGCAAAGTATTCTTCATTTTATTTCTCTCTCAAACTTCTTCTTTAAAGAAGAGAGACAAATTGTGTTGGCATGAATGAAGTATGAATAAAATCCACTGTGAATAAGAACAGAAATTAAGAATGTGAGCAAAAATAGGGAGAGAGAGAGAATCCTTCTGTGCCTATGTTCTGAAGTCAGTATCTGTCCTTTGGAAGGACAAAATAACTCTGCAAAATTTAATCCTGCCTTATAAATAGGTCTAGCCATGCAAAACAGTTTGGGATGCAGCATTCATCAATTGCAGGCCATGTAGATGACTGCATCTCAGTTCCAAAGGTGGAGAATTCATGCCTGCCTTGCAGCTGTGCTGCTCTGGAAACAGCCACACCAACAGCAGGAATTTACCAGCACCTGTGCAAACCCACGGAGGCAGGTGAAAGACCTCTTGTGATCCACCATGAAGAGAAGCAGATCTTCTGCTGTATAAATGCTCTTCTGTGTGATTTTAATGGTAGCACATAGGGTACGACTAAATAGAAGAAAATGTGGAGCTCAGAATTACTCCAATAAATGTCTAAGCTGAAAAATTATTGTAAAGAGGAATGATAAGCATTGTTTAATTTGTGGGTTTAATTCTCTTGCAGTTGATTACCTGGAGATTTACAGAACAGCTGTTTCAACTGTCCCATTTCAATTGAGGACTAAAACAATCTCTCCCTCTCCAAAAGATATTTAAATATTGACAAAACGCTTCATCTAAATCTTTGTAATTAACCAATTAATTCAAGATTTCTATTCCTCCTTACTACCAAGTAATAAAAGATGAACAGAACATTTCAAGGGGCAGATTAATTTATTTTCTTTCCTAACACCCTCTTTTATCTCATTTCTAAGGCTGAAGAATGGCAGCCTAACCAGACTTTTGCTTAATGTTTTATTCTCTACTCATTGCTCATATTTTTTAAGGTGATTAAAGGTTATACACACCAATACGATTAAAACCCACAGCACATTCCTTATATCACTTGTTTAAGCAAGCTGATTTCTAGCCAAATTAGATTCTGGTATGTCACCAGTTACTTTAAACTCAGGAAATTAATATCTTATTTATGAAAAGATGAAGCAGTTATAGGAACAGCTGTAATACCATAAACATAGTATAGCCAGTGATATTAAACCATAAAATTAAGTTATGCTGGCAAGTGTTCAACCTGGAGACAACTTCATTGTTTCATTTATACTTAAGCAAAAGTTGCCATAGTTCAATATAAAAAAAAAAGATTGAACAAATAAAGTCGTGAGCCTGAATGCAGATACAACTGAAGCCAAATATTAATTGGAATATATATCTTCTGTGTATTAACATATACACTACAAAGGTTACCATATGCATTTAACCTCAGATACGGCCGATTAGTGCAAGAAGTGACATGCCCAAGGCTTTGGCCACACATTTAAGTTTGGTGGGTTTCTTTTAAATGGCATAAAGTCTTAAGAAAAACAGTATTATATGGAAGTATCTGTGTAGGATGGTTTTAGTAACAGCTGTCACTTGACTAGCCTTTTAGTCAGGAAGATGGATTTAATTGCTATCTAATATCTTTTTTTCTTGATCAGACATTTTTCCTTAACAGGCTTGTTTATACTACTACTATAAAGAACATTTATGGTAGGTGATAAGATAGCAACTGAATGACGTAAGTTACTGACTCTCAAATACTATTTCTGTTAGAACCCTTTATCTACCTTTATTGTGAATGCGAATGAAATTGACCTTTCACTCATTTTTTTTTGTTTGTTTGAAGGTCTATGTGCATGAGAAAGTAACATCCACTTTGTAAAAGGTACGCCTATAAAGCAACAGCATGCTAAAGCAAGTTGGTATAACTCTACACGCATCACTGCAGATGTGCTCACAAAGCTGCAAATGATTGCATTAACATAGTAATATGATAAAACATTTGTCAACTGAGTTGTTGCATCACCACATCTATGTCCTCTGTCATACTGAAACATATTATCTTAGGCCACCGTGCATGAGTCACAGCTGGAGAAGGCTAAACAAAATTGCTGGTTATCGTGATTCAGGTAAAGGAACCCTGCTAAACCACTGTGTCTCGATGCGTATGCTCACATGATCACCACCAATCTCAGAGAATTCGAAAGACAATTTGAAATAATATATGGACATTTGTTTGTCTGGCTTATTCAGGCTTAGTTTAACTAGAAATAACGCAAAACCTGTTTTATATTACATTACCTCTGAATGGCTCCACAGACTAAATGTTTGCCCAACTTTCCTCAAAGTTGAAGTGGAAGATGAAGGTAAGTGAATATTTAATTTGTAAAGGTAGAAGAAATAATCTCATAGAAGAAGAATGAGCATCGATACCCCCAAGAATAACTAGTTTTGTATTATCCAGTGAAAGCAAAAGGTAAGAGGTGAAAGGAAATGCAGAATGCCACAAAACCCACTACACATGAACACAGAGCTGACACATACAGGTATAAAAATGTGTATTATAAACACAGAAACATGTTTATCTCAAGATCTTCTTAATAGTTATTGTTTTAAAATACAGAAAACTTCAGCTTTCTCTGGTCTTTATGCTCCATTTGCTTTATATCTTCCAGGCCTGGGTGACTGACATGAGGCAGCAGGTATGTTATACCACTATCCTACACAATAGAGTAGCCCTGCACAAATCTAAGATTGAACTTGGTATGACGCAACTAGTGTGAAAATTTAAACAACATCAAAAGACTATTAGAAGTGTGATAATAAGCAGTTTAAGGTTGGGGAAAAATTTCAACAGCAGAAGGCTATCTTAAGACACACATCCTAAGAAAACAACTAAACTGTGGGTGACTGACAGGTAAGAAGCAACCAAGTCCTTATTTCAGGCCTCTAGAGGACAAAACCATTCAGATATTGTTTAATTTTTATGGTGATTTTTGTTTTTTAAAAACAAAGCTCACATGCACATCAAAACCCTCAGAAATGCTGTCAGCCACATCCTTTTCCCATGTCACAGAAAATGTTAAATGGGTACATGAAGAATATTTATGCAGTTCTGTTAGTCTGAACAATTTCAAAGCACTACAGATTCATGACCATAATCCCCACGAGAGCTGCACGTTGAGTCCCCACAGCAAGGCTGCTAACTGGAGCAGCTCTTGCGCAACTGCTGCTCTAGGTCGGCTCCTGTACAGACCCGTATTTCAGAGCTCCCAGAGCCTACTGCTCTTCGCATTGACTTCTCATCCTATTGTGGGTATTTCCCAAAGCAGGCAGCCCTTAGGAAAGCCGCTGCACCACGAACACCGGTTGTGCAAGGGCTCTGTGGGCCGGCTGGTGAGCGACCTCTGCTCCTGGCTGGTGAGCCAGCATCACCCTGCAAGTGCGAACCGCTCCTGTGCCAGCAAACCGCCCTGAGCAGTTTGGGTGGGTTTTGGTGTTTTGTTTGGTTTGGTTTTTTTTTTTTTTTGAAGAGGGGAACCCCCTCGGCTCCCTCCTCTCCCTTACTCCCCAGCAGTACTGGCAAATGGGAACACGTTGCCCAGACAGACCCGCAGCAAAGCATCAGCGGGTGCCACCGCCTCCTCCTCCGCCTCCTCCTTCTCCTCCTCCCCCCCGGACGCGGGCTCGGCCCCACAGCCCGCAGGTCCCGGATCCCCGGCAAGCGGCGGATTCCCCCCCGGTGCTGCCAGCGAGGGCCCCCCCTGGGCGCCCGGCCGCCATCCCCCTCCCACGCCCCCGCAGCTGAGGCGGGAGAGACACCGCCTCCGTGCGCCAGCGGTGGCCACGAATGGCGGAGGGACCCCCCCCCCCGCCGCCCCCCGCCCCAGCCCCTCCACGGGCCCGCCGCTGAGGGCTGCGGCGGCCTCAGCGTGAGGCGAGGGGCGGGCGGCGGCCCCGCCTCCCCGCCGGCAGCGCAGGCTGGAGCAGCGGCGGCGGCGGGGATCGCCCTCTCCTCTCGCATCGCGGGCCGGCCGGGCACTTACCGTATCCTGGCCGCGGTGGTCGCGTTGCCGGTCTGTGCCCGCAGGCACGCCAGCAAGAGCAGCCTCATAGCGGCCCCGGCGGCAGCCACCACGCTGAGGGGCAGCGCCGCGGCCACCGCCTCCTTCACCTGCCCGCGGCCCCGCCGCCTCCCGGAAACGGCGCCGCCGGGACGGTGTGCCACCGGCCGCAGCCCCGGCCCGCCCCGGGCCCCGACCCACCCGCGAGGGCTGAGCGCGGCAGGACCCGCCTGGTGAGGGACCGGTGGCGCCTGTGCCAGGCGTCCCCGGGCAGAGGACAGTTGACGACAGAGCCAAGCTCTGTGTGGTGTGCCAGGAGGTTTGGGTCCCTTCCTCTCCCCCCCCCCCCCCCCCCCCCCCTTTCTAAATAGCGCTATGGATTGTCATTAAACAGTCGCAAAGGTGATGTACTGCGAGTCTTAAATTGTTGGTTGCACAAGAGGCCTCCTGAGGAGAACATCTGAGGAAGGTTGTATCAGCTACTGTGTCCTGAGGCGGTTCCTCAGCCACACCACAGGCACCATGTGTCTCCCAAGGTAGAAGTGGTTCATACTCGGTGCAGGAATGGAGAAAACTAATTGTGGATCAGATGCCAACAACCAAAAAGCCAGGGGCGTGTGCTAGTCCAAAGAACAAGGCAACAGGACGGTCAAAGACCACGTTAAATGTCAGGAAGGCCATATGATGAAGCAGAGCCAAAGGTGTCTAAGACCAGGGGAAAGCTGTGGCGAGGAACCACAGCCTCTGCAGCAGCAAGCCAAATCCAGAGTTATAGAAAAGTAAGGAAGAGAAAAAGGAAAAGCCCAAACTATCAAGCTAGACTTCAGGATAAATCCCAATTATAGTCAGAAACAGGGTGAGCAGCTAGGAGCGGATGGGTGGGGCTGCAGTGAGTAGGACTGAGAGGCCAGTTTAGGGCATCTATGGGGTGACTGATAGGGGCCAGGTGGCTGACTAGATATCCATGGCCTTGAGCTTGATTCAGCATTTTGTAAAACCATTGAGAATGTGTGCAGGACATCAGACGGATAAGGAGGTCTTGATCTAACAGAAAATTCACTTTTTTTGCTTGTATACTTATAACCTGGTCTGATTTCCTTATGTAAATCACCCCAGGGCCACACAGATGCTTGCTTCCCCAAGGCTGTCAAAGACAGGAGAAGGTGGTTTCCAAACTGCAGTGCCTATTTATTGTGGCTTAAATTACTCTTCAAGTCTTAGTGTCAGGTAGAGGGAGAAAAATATGCCACATGCAGAGAAAGGTTCTTCAATAATTTCAAAAATAGAAGTTCTTCAAATAACTTGTGTGGATCTCTGAGGATGACAGGTATTCAGGAATCGAGGGTTTAGGAGTGATAAAGATACATATTGTATATTCTAGTGAATTGTAAGCATTTTGGTATACTGGCTTGTCTTTCACTCATGGGTCTTCATGCTGCAGAGCTATGTTCAACTGTGCATCTCACAGTTATCACTTAGAAATAACTCAGCACAATATTGTTCAGAACATTTAAAACTCCATCCAAGCTAAAAAAGATGGCTACAACTTAGAAGAGCAACATATCTTGCATAAATGCTAATTTAAGGGCTATTTTCATCACCATTTTAGAAAGCATTTCTGGCATGAAATCCCAGCCCCACTGAAATTTAGAGGGCTTTTGTCAATCCATCCAGGATTCTAGCTTCAGTTAGCTTCACTGTAAGGGCTTTTGAGAGCACTTACCACCCTCAAATGTGGCACCAGCCCTCTCTGTTAGTCACTGCTGCCCAACGTCAGTCTAACAGACCGGTAACATGTCATGCTGACTACATGACGCTTATGCAGCAGCCTTTCAGTCTCCTGATACACTGCCACTCTGTATCCTTTCCCAACAGACCCTCCTTCTGGTTCTAAGATCTGCATACAACATAGCTCATCCAGCCACATGACACCAAGAAACACACCTTCCCCTCTGGCTGCAGACCCATACCTAAAACAGCCTACATAACCCAAAATGGGCACATTCCCTAGTTGCACGGCCAAGAGCAGGATATATGACAGTGCTGGGAAAGTCATGTTTTGGGTTAAAAGGAAGCTGTGGGTTTGATACCTGCATGAGATACCTAATTACAGATACCTTGGCTGTTGCAACTTTTTACCACTGCTAGCTCTAAAACCAGACAATAGCTATCCAGCACATTTAGTGTATAACACAAAAAAGACAAAAATGCAAACATCAAAGTAAGACAAGGTCTGCTCCATGAGACAAAAGAGGAAACTTAACCAGTCATCTGGGAAATAAAGAGGAAAGAAAGGAAACATTCAAAGAGGTCTTAACATTTTATTACTATTTATGGTAACTCTGGTTTTTATGATATATAGGCCTTGACTAAAAAAACTGAAATACAAGTCTTTTCAGCATTAAGTATTGTTGTGTCTTCAAAAACACATACATGCACTAATGTATCACTGTATCAAGACAGATGCATTCATCGTAATCAAAGGGTCATGGGTGTATCTTAATGAAGAAGTTTTAAATATACTGTAACTAAGTGTTACTGTTTGGAGGAAAATTAAAAACAACTTTCCTGAAAGTACTATACTTCCAGAGAGCATATTCACTTTACAACAGTAGCTTTTAAATTTTAGTGAGAGTACCTACTTCTCGACATCTGAAGACTTAAATAACATTTTATAATGTACATTTCAAATACTATCCAGCATTGCTAGGTGTTTGTAACAGTTGTTGGGTAGGCCAATATAAAAACTCACACCACTCACAAAGGTAAATTATGAAAGGCCTAGCATGTGATATCTGCAAATATTAACACACAGTAACGCAATGTGTGCTTAATTACTTTTTAGTCTCTAGCAAATACTACAAGACCACTTAGAAAATGTTATCACAACTGATATGATATAAAGTATTAAGCTAGGCAAAGCTGAAATATAATTTCTTAAGTTACAGAATCAGTCATGTTACAGTAGTTAACATAAAGAGATCTCTGTACAGCTAGTTGCATTTTCCTCATTGTCCTTTGTCATGAAATTTAACTAGTTAAAAAAGCAAATAATGAGTCACTGTTAGGGCATATGTTATTTACAAAGGCCCATCATTAAATTTGTATGTTTACTTTTACAACCATCACTTGCTCAATTAGCAATGTCATTCCAAAAATGTTAAGTCATACCTAGATGTTGGGTGTAACTACATCATGTCAGTCGATTTACCTTTTTCATTGAAAACACACAACCAGAAATATTTTCTCATTTTGTTCTGGCCAAAAATGACTTTGAGGCTGCCGTTGAAGACAATTACGTACTTCCGTGATCTTGACCTCAACGTATGTGATGGTGGAACAAAAGAACATCTTAGGGCTTCAATCTTGCAACCACTGATGTGCATTTTCTCATTTTAATCATGAGCTTTGCCCCATTCAAATCGCAGTCTTTATTCTCCACACGTACTTATGACGTGTTCTTACTGCAGGTACACCTCTGATAAACCTAACTTCAGACGTACAATGCCTGGCCAGCTGGTGCTCTCCCATCCTGCCAGGTCAGCTGTCGCCCAGCGCTGCAGGCACGTCTGCTGCATTTACTGCTGGCAGCGTAACATGGACAATATATAAATTAAAAAAACCCCTGTGTGTATATATATATACACACATACAGCATACATTCAGGTATTTCTGCATGATGGCTATTTTACGGGGACAATCCTCGCTTTTGCTTTTCCAACTGAGAAGCAAAGTAGATAAACAAACTGCACCTTAACTTCGCTGTCATTGCTGGATAAGCCTAAGGGGAAAATGAGGGTTCATGGAAGACGGCGCTGAAACTGTATCATTAAAAGAGTTACACAGCTCCCGTTAACAACTAAAACGTAATTCTCAGCCTGAACTAACGCACGAAATAACTACGAAAGCAACTTTTTCTGCTGCAGCACCCCCCACCCCCCGCCCGCTTTACCCCGCCTGGCATCCTAAGGAAAGCGGCGAGGGAGAACCTGCCGCTGAGGGAAAGAGCTGCCACCTTCCTTCCCCTGCGAAGCTCCGCACACCCGGTGATGTTGCCAAGGGCAGCGCCCGCTCAGCGCCCGCTCAGCCGGTACCTCCCGCCGCTTCCGGTCCGCCACGTCCCGCCCCAGCAGACGCTTTCCTGTAGCCCTGCGGCCCACGTGACAGTGCTGTCGGCGGAGCGACGGCCCCCTCGGCCAATGGCGACGCGCCGTTCCCCTCGTGGGCAGGCCGGGCCGGGCCGGGCCCCGCCGCTCGGCCGCGGCCAGGTTTCCTCAGGGCGGGCCTGGCCGGGCAGCGCGGCGGGGCCGCGGGGAGCAGGGATCGTTATGGAGGACACCGAACCGAGCGAGCGCAGCCCTTTACTGAGCAGCGGGGAGCGCGGGCGGGCTGCCAGCAGCGCTTTCCACGGGCGGCTGTTGGCATGCGCCGCCGTGTTGCTGGCCGAGCTGCTGGAGCGAGTGGCCTTCTACGGCATCACCTCCAACCTGGTGCTGTTCCTCAACGGGCCTCCCTACGGCTGGGAGGGGGCCCAGGCCAGCCAGGCCCTGCTGCTCTTCATGGGCATCACCTACCTGGTGTCGCCATTTGGCGGCTGGTTGGCTGACGCCCTCCTGGGCAAGTTTGGCACCATCCTGCTTAGCATGGCGCTCTACCTGCTGGGCATGCTGGCCTTCCCCGTCATCGCTGCGCCTCACACCCGCCAGGGCCTCTGCGGGGACATCCCTTTGTTCCCCGTGGAGAACTGCTCCTCTCCGGCAGCCAACGCCACCATGGCGCCTTGCTCCCAGGTGGGAGCCACCCGCTACTGTGCCACTGCCACCTTCGTCGGACTGGTCCTCGTGGGGCTGGGCGTCGGGTCGGTCAAGGCCAACATCACCCCTTTTGGGGCGGACCAGGTCAAGTATTATTTGGCAGCTGTTGAATAGTTGGTGAGTGCTGATGTGGACCAGGGGATGGCTGTCAGTCATGCAGAGGGCCTTGCCTTGGTGGGCTGGACAGCGTGCCTAACGATTCGCATCTCTGTAGGTGTTAAGTCTCAGAGGGAGTCGGATCTTTCATCTTTGTTCCCTGTGTAATGCAAGCTGTTAAGTTGTACCCTGTTAGATACAGTTTTGGTGTCTGTGTGGTGTCTGGTCTCTTACGGTCCTTGGTTTCCTGGTGGCACTGCCTTATGTGGTACCTGATATGGCTAAGCCATCACCATCTTGAGGAGCTGGGTTGAATACTTAATGACCATTAAGTGGATTGTTAATTATCCTCCACTGTGGAGTTTGTAACCAGTTAATTTAACCTCAG